AACTGACCTACAATTCTCATCTGTTCTTATCTGTCTAATGATTTGTTTTCTGTTTGTGTGTGCACAATCATTATTTTTTGTCAATAAAATTTATGTGTATCTGTGCCAATACGTAGGGTGTGTTGTGTGTGTATGTGCGTGCATGTGTGTGTGTCTGTCTATCGTACACAGCTAGCGAGCTATATGTGCGTGTGCACTCGCATGCGCGTGCGCGCTCTCTCTCTTTCTCTATCTCTCAATGTATTGATTGATTCACGTTGTGTAAAACTTTCACAAAAACAGCTCAACCTTTTTTTTTCTCTCTATGCCATAAAGTCCTACTATATTGATAATGTTGTTAGTTTGTAAAATATTCACCATTTTAAAGGAAAACAGTACAAGTTAGATCATTTATTGCTTGAGATTAAAACACAATTCGGCTTCATGAAATCGATGCGATGATAGTAATAGAGTTATCATCATCGCCAGTGTAATAGACTACTAGTGTTACTAATAATAGTAGTAGTAGTGTTTATGTATATTTGGACACATGAAGATTGGTACAACTGGGGTGGCACACGCACAAATCAATCGCACATACGGCAGTTACAAGTGTTTATCGACAGTTGTGTCTACGTAAGATGATACTGGAGATCCATCGGCCAGAAACTATCAACAAAAACTTACTGTGAAGTAGGTCAAACTAGATTCCAATGGAGGAAGAAATCAAGAATGTGCGCTGGAGGTGAATAGCATATACATATTGAGGAAGTCACATAGCTGAGTCACAAGACAAGCCCTCACTTGGGATACTCAAGACCAAAGGAAAAGACGAAGTTCAAGAAACACATTACTCCGAGAAATGAAGACAGGCATGAGGTGAATGAACAACAATCGGACAGAACTAGAAAGAAAGTCACAAGACAGGTTAGGTAGGCCGCCTAGTCTCCCGTAGGGTAAAAGGTGTAAGTTAGTAAGTAAGCAATAACCGCGCCAGATTGTTTCATTATTAGAGATGAGCCTTTGACCCGAAATCGTCTTCTCTGAAATTCTAATCTTTTGAATTCCTCATCGCCGTTTTTTTTCTCTTTTCAAATTTCATTCACTGGATTATACTTCTCAGATCATATCTTGGAACCCTAATTTTCTTCATTACCTCTTATACATCTACTATGGGATTTGAATTGCGAATTACATCTCAGTGTGCTAACTAGGTATTGCAGCTTGAACTGATGTGTCTGTATGTACAAAGTTCTACATTGTAGCTGACCGATTTCGACTTAAATATCTAATTCACAAGGTAGTAAGGCTCCTTCAGGAGATACCGTAGCCGGTGAGAGATTATAAGTCCATAAGCCATTTGTTTCCTGAGGATCATGGGGCGTAGTGCGCCCTAGGCTTGCCACATTCTCGGCTGTACAAGGTTATTCGGTGGAAAGCAACATATTTGTGTGCATATAATTTTAAGAAGCTACTTTTAATTAAAAAGAGAATTATTGGATGTCAAATTCAATATCCAATTCACTGATAACCTTCCCAAATATCCTGGTACAACTGGAAGTGAAGAGAATCCACTCTTCCTCTCCCTGGCAACGTTCTCATATCGCCATGGGAATTATAGTCACGGACTGGAAAGTCTTTGTCTCTGCCTTCTCATGATAGAGGTGATGTTCTTAAATTGAAGAGGATAAAAAACGCATTACCAGATAGGGCCTAAAACGGGCTGTTAGGTACAGGGGGTCCACATAGAGAGGTTGAAAAACGCTTATTTCAAATCACTGGTGCACTTAAACTCCAGGATTGCGATGGAAAAAATGGCGTACGAACTTATTGTTGGTTGCTGGCTGCCATGTGAGACTGCATCGCTTTAGGTCGCTCCATTGCCTTATAGATAAGACTTTTCGGGGTTTGTCGCCCCCCCCCCCAAAAAAAATAGACTGACTAACTGCAGTATCTCAATTTAATAGTTTGTACCTCTCTACTACAACATATTTATGTATTCCAATGAAAATTTTTTAAAGATTGATGTAAACACAGTCGGAAATCTGTCATGTTTAAATTGTACAAAATTCCTTAAATCTAATGTGATATTTTACTCTTATTACTATTACTACTACTACTACCACTAATACTAATATCACTACTATTTTGTACTAAACCCGTAGTTTAACGATTTAGTCACATGTTTTGCATTCACACTTAATGTCGTGAAGATTTTTGTGTTTTTTTTCTCAATGTTCTCATGACTAAATCATTTCACACTGTTCATTCACTCACTCAGTCACGACTACACACGATACATTGCGTGCAGTATGTGTTCTCTCTCCTGCCCCAAAAATGTGATTTATTCTAGTTTTCGGACGAACTCGATTTATTTATGCCTCCCTTTTGTGTTGTTATGCGCCTTCATACACACACACACACAGATCTTGACCTTGTGTACTATTTATTCACGTACAGCTGTGACTGTTTGTACTTGTGCGTGCGTGTGTGAGTGCGCGCGTGTGTGTGTGTGGGTTTATCACTCTCTGTGAAGCTGATTTTGTGTCCGTGTTATAAATAAATAAGTTATGCTCTTTATCGTGTGGAATTGACCCAGTCGCCTTTGTCGCGTCGTTCCTGTCTGTCTCTATGGACGATTGAATGAAATAAATTCATTCATCTTACTGAAGAAACTGCATCGGGGCTGCCCATTTCCATCGTCACTCAAACAGGGTAAATCTTGGTCTCGCGATAAACTTAGGACATGGTAAACTATTTGTATGCAAGTTATTGAAGTTCACAATGATAATCAATCAGTCAGCTGCAACGTAGAACTTTGTACGTACGTGCCTATATCAGTTGAAGTTGCCTTACCACATTAGCTCAGAGAGGCAGCTGTCACTTCAAATCTCATACTGGTAGAGGTAATAGAACTATGAGCAGTAATCGTAGAGATTAAGGTTCGAAGATATTATTCAAGAAGTATAATCCAGTGAAATTCATTTGAGACGAGAAAGAGATAAAGGTTATGAGGAGTTTAGATTAGAATTCGGGAGAATACAAAGCATTTATGCATCTGCACTATTGCAAACGATTTTGAACCATTTCATTCAAAGCCTTTAACCATAGATTACTATGGACCCTATCCACGTAGTCTACTAATATGGCTCAGTCCACTTGTCAGTGACTTGATGGATTTCTGCCATGTTTTGATCACTTCGCTCCTGCACATTGATAATACCTTGTGCAATTGAAAAAAATACAATTTCTGAAATCACCTATCAATTGTATATATGTGTAATTATTCGTTATCGATGATAATATTCAGCGTAATTCTTACAATGTGCAATGTCTTACATCTGAATGTGATATGCACCAACAGCATAGAATGATGTCTCATTCAATAAGCATAATATCTGCAAATACTCGTCTATATATATTACTTTGTTCTAAAAATGAATCTATTTCTCCACCAATAATATTTATTCGTCCTTAAGGACATTTTTAATGGTCATTCAATGACCTCATTAGGACACTTTCGATTGGTTCACTATGTTAATGACAATAATAATGAAAATCAGTTGAGGATTAGTACACTTGCAGAAAAAATAGTTGTACGCTACACTTACTTAATCTCTTTCACCATCTCTCAATAATCCTATGTGTACCTATGATTTTTGTGATTACTTCATGAATCCTGCCAATGTCGATGTGTTTGTTGATTTGTTGATTGACTTGAGTGTGCCAAGCATGACAATGACAGCTCCATAACCAAAACATCCACAGCTTAGATCAGAGAACGAAACTCCATCACAAACACACAAACTCATATTCATCATTGTTTTTTTGTGTGTGTGTGCATTTAGACTTCTTGTTTAGTATACTATTTCGATAAGTACTCTCCTGCGTCATATTCGTTTAACAGCTAAAATATCATCATCAAACTTTTGGTGGCCAATGTGTAGTACTAGTTTCGTGAACGTCGGTATTCAACGTGTTCTTAAAATTCGTAATTCGCTCATCCAGAAAATCGTTACTAAATAGCGCTTGATGGTTTATAAATCAGAAGGCGAATACGAAGTGTTGAATACGTTTATTTTTAGCACACCACAAGCACACAGAGAAGGGTAAGCAAGCTAATTAATAAGCGAATTGGCGAATAGATTAATAAGATTAAAATGTACCTATATATATACATAGGAAAGTGTCTGAGTCATTGAAATATTTAAGAGGTTAGCATTAAAGCGAGTAGGATGAATATTCGCGTATGCGGTAAGCGATGTGGTCCAGTCCGTACCAGCTCATACAAACCAGACAATAGTAAAAGCCAATAGTACATATAAGTTACTGCCATACAACTGACTTGGTTAAATAAGTTAATCAAAATCGCTTAACCAAATTATCAAATTTGTGGAGGCACTACAAACTAATTTACATCATGACAATTAATCTATGCAACCAAATTATTGACAATTGAAATGAGTCATGTTAATCGATGTAAGTAAATTACTACCACTACTACTACTTATTTGGCTGATGCCGGCATGACATTCATAATCGGGTTGGCGGAGGTTATAGATTTTGAATAAACATCGTTGAACATTGTGTGCAATAATGTAGGTGTATGATATATTATTCCTTGTCTACTTATTCACGAAATTTTTAATCAGCTCCTGAATTTTTTCATGAATTTATATTTTCTTTCTAAAATTCATTTGACAAATTTGTAAGTTCTTGAATCTTGTCTTCATTCTCTAACCTTTTGTATTACTGCTAACACTGTAACTACCTGTACTGCTCTGGGATTTTGCCTGACAATGTCATTTCTCTTTGTACTAAACGAATATGGTATGACAACTTGAGTCCAATGTACATACATACATACTCAATAACAATTGACTGACGAAATTACTGAACATTAATGAACCGACCAACTCTATCTTAGGTCTTTTTATGTCTGTCTGGACTTGGGACCAACAGTAACCCGCTAGAAAGATGATCTTCTTATGTTTTTATATTTCTTTCTATTTTAATCACAGGTTGATCTCAATGAACATACATCAGGTGTACATATTGTGAATAAAGATAAAAGTAATCCTCTATTACCTGATAGTGTACAACTTTTACAAGAAGTAAGTTGTAGTTTTGTTTAATTGCCTTTGGTATCATGATTATCATTATTATTATTATTTTATTGAGATCATGAATTGATTTATGTTACGCCTTCATTAAAAAGCTGGAATCACTGCATGGTCATTTTGTCCTGGTACAGGACTCTTCAGCAGTGTGCATCCACTACGCTTGTTCTTGGATACCGGACCAAGGACTTTAAGTCTTACGAGCGAACACCTAACCTCTAGACCACTGAGCTGGCATAAAACCGTGTTATTAGTTGGACAGCCTTAAAATATCCCTCAGAAAAGTATGTACAAACACAGCGATGCCAGAAAACTTGTCATCCAAAAAATGTTGAGTCGAACCTTTGCAGAAATGTCTGAAAGGTATAGAACTACGTGCCACAATTCCGATCGGATATGGTTATCGAACCTCCCAGGAGTCAAAGGTCATGAGTATCTCTCTAAAAACTCTCATGTTTCGTACAAAAACTAACTTTAGACTAAATCGTTTTTATCATACTTCCTGCCTTTTCTGCTGTGTTCAAGTTGTAGTGTAGATTCAGTCTACGGTTATTAGAAGCAGATAAGAAATTAAATCTTACGTTTATTTAGCAGACTTATCAATAGTCTCTAACTTGATTCAATCCATGATATTGCCTGATCTTCATCCGTAGTCTTCGGTGGGCCTCAAACCCTACACGGTTGAACCTCACTATAAAATATTCGTATGTTTTTTGATTAGACGAATACATTTATTTTACACAACTATTCATCAGACACTGTCTGAAATGTGTTTATTTCTCACATAAAGTGGATTACAGCGACAAGAAACTACTTCCAAAAATTTCTGATATTTTCCCTCATAAAACTAATGAAAATTTCACATTGTTATTCCCAAAATTTTTCGAAATTGTTTCAACTGTTTTTCGGCGTTCCAACCAGTTAGTCTCCACCTACCAACATGGTTCATGAACGGTTAGTCTTGTCAATAAGAGAAACAGAAGGATTTGTAGCACGCCGTGGAAGAAAATTTCTTATGCAACCGGAAAAGAATGTTGGTTTAGCGTGTGTTAGTCTCAGTGACGTGGAAGCGTGGCCAACTAGCTCAGGTTTCTTTCTTACGGACCCGAACCATGTAGTAATCTGGTCGATTCATTAAATCCCTCCGTATAGTTTGCTTCGATTACGATATGATCAACCTCATGAAAATTTTTTTAAAATCACACTATCATAACAAACTAAAAGTCAATCACTTGATTAAACGTCATAATTAAAACTGAATTTCAAATGGTCTACATTGTTCTAATGAAATAGGCAAGCCGATGATTTATGAGTAGTGACCTTTGTATGACCTTTAGAAAATTTTGCTGCTTATTATGAAAGTCTAGAAAAGTAATTATTGATTAATATTTCCAGGAATTAGGATTTATATTCAAAGTTAGATAAGTTTTAATTAGGAATTGTTGTAGTTACTGTGTTTCATCACGCAATGACTTCATCTAAAATTGTAATGTCGATATGTGCTAACTCACCAAATTGATTTCTTGAACGAGAAGTGTTTATTTGGCACGGAGTACCATTTTGGAAAATGAATCCATCTTTTGACCAATGAAATGCGTTTGTCCTTTTAAGATCTTCCTGTGTAAGTCATCACAAATGACCTTGTCACATTTGACCAGTTCTGATTGGCTCATTATGTTAGTACAGCGAAATTGATTCATACATAACTGTTTGAATTTCGCGTGTAAAATTTACAATTTTTTCGTAATAAACTTCATTGGTTATAAGGATACACTTGCTTTCTGCCAAACTACTCTTCAATTTTGATTGAATTATGATCTTGTGGAGCTTTTACTATTGATGTGTAATTTTGTTTTGATGCTACCTTGACCTGGTGGTCGGGCTTGACTATCGTGATGACCCAGCCGAGCTATACTGGCTGGAACATATGTTCCTGAAGGTTCTACCATGTCAGGCAGGTCGATTGGAGAACTATGGGACTAAAAGCAGCTACTCAAGGTCTGAGGGCGAAGTCGTACTGCCGGCTGATTGTATAGGGGTGTGACAGGAGTAAGGCGTTTCCCTCGGATAACCAGCATCTGAAGCGATGCTGCCTTCTCATAAGGAAGGAAGGGTTAGAAAAAGTTGACCCTAAAAATGTCACACCTCACGGATTTCCGTCTCTGGTGGTAAGGGTGCCCACTAAGGGCTTTTATGAGCGGAGCTAACACTGAAAAAACTTCTCATAAAAAGGCCGTGCGTGACCGGCCTCAGGCAGTTGTCCCTTGGACTCTGCGGTCACGCTCCCAGGTTTCCAAGACCAACAGTAATCTATCTTCCTTTTCAAGTCCCTCAAGAAACAACCTTCCACATTGTGAGCATCCGGGAAGTGACAACCGCCCTCATACGCGTACCATCACACAACTGTTTCCAATCTTAATGTTATTCCTTTTATAACGCTATTTGTTCACGACTTAATAAAATCTCATTGTTTATCCACAAAAAGAGTTTCGTTCATTCACTTATCCTGCAATCTGTCTTTCTATCTCCCTCTCCCTATTTAGCGTTTAATCCCAGGACCACCATTTGCTTTTGGTGCTTTACTTGTTCTATTCGCAATTATCGTGGCTATGTTTATACCAGAAAATCATCCTATATCAAATTTAACTCATTCAGAATCAATCACCGATCCATATGAATCATCAATCAATAATCCTAGTTATTATGATAGTGAAACACGTTTTCGACGTAGTTCACCAACTGGTCAATCGAATCGTTCTACAACGACGACAATGATGAAGAAGAATTATCATGATGATTCATTATACACCGGTGGAATGAATGCTCCACTTTCTCTTACTGCTACTACTACTCCTCCTTCTCATCGTAATAATGATGACGATGATCATAATAATAATGACAAGTCGAAGCTACTCATGAATTCAATGGAAATGTCAAAATATTTTATAAAACATGATATTTTTCATCATAGTAATAATAATAATAATAATCAATATTCAGTTGATAATAACAATAGTATATGGAATCGTTTAATGACTGGTCTAAATGATTTACGTAATCCAATCTATGTGAAACAACGTCCAAATCGTGTATATCGTCATTCAAAAACTCGTTTTAATACTGCTGGTTTAGTGGAACCATTTCGTCGTTTATTTATTCGAACAAAAACTTATGATGGAAATTTTATTGGTGTCAGTGGCAGCGGTGGTGGAGGCGGTATCATCGATGAAGAATTTCTTGATCGTGAAACACGTCTTCATTATTCCAAATTACCATTTACTATGATTTCATCATCAAAGAAAAATAGTTTTAATCATTCAAATAATCATCCTTATCATCATCATAAATATGTCGATGAGAAATCCAATAAGGAATTATTATTCTCTAATCCATTATTATTAAGTCAAAATGAATCAGAAGAAGCAGCTGACTTAAGCAATTATCGTGCACATCATTTCCGACGCATGTTTATTACTTCACCTACATCTACTCCGCATACATTGACGACTAACATTAATGATACTGTTGAACATACAAATACTACTGTGATTTCTTCAGCGGATTATCATCATCATCATCATCTCACTAGTACTGATCATTCGTTATCGGGACACCGCCTATAAGATTGTTATATTGAATCCTGATGGGTGAAAAATGAAATAATTTTCTTCTGTTTCTTTATACAATTAAAAGAATTTATTCATTCATATGAATGAGAATATTACTAATAATAATGTATGTAATTATTTTCTTATATTTGTCTACTAAGTAAGTAAGTAAGTTTTGATATTGATTATTATGAGTGTGTGTGTGTATGTGTATGTGTTTGTGTTTGTGTGTCAGTTGTGTAATTTTCTTTTCAAAAGAATAGATAGTTACTTATTTTACGCATGTTATCGGTTTTTGAAGGTAGGCTATGGGCGATTGATCGGTAGCGATCTTTGGCCAACTCTGCTCGAGGCTTTCTGTTAGGACTTGCTTATACTTAATTTACACATATACACACACACCTGTCAGCTTAGGCTGCTGACTAGCATTCTTCAACTAATTGATTTTTATGCTTTGGAAGTCTGCCTCTAATTCCTGGTGGAATGTGTTCTTTGGTCTATCTATACCTATTTTCGTTTGGATTTGAGGATTCTAGGCTAGAAGAACTTGCCTTGTGACACACCCGACCATAGCTGGTACCTACAGTAGTGGAGTTTGTCGCACTATCAGTGGTAACGGAAAAATCGGGAAGAATAGTTAAGGATTCGAGAAAATATAAATCAGTAAAATAAATAAATAAGAATTACGACGAATATATCTCAGAGTTCGGGTGAAGACAGAGAATGTATGTATCTGCACCATTGCAAACGATTTTGAACCATATCATTCAAAGTCTCTAGCCACTGGTTACAATTGTCTTGCGGACACCAATCACACAGTCTATACCTATTGATATGACTCAGTCTAACTACTAATCACTTCGCCAATCGATGCCACGTTACCTTTCTTCCAACTTATTCCCGACCGTGGCTGCTAAATTCACACCGGGTGGTCGTGCTTTCCTATCGTGATGATTCAACCGGGCTATATTGGTTAGAATATATGTTTCTGCAGGTTCTACCATGTCAGACAGGTCGATTGTAGAACGATGAGACTAAAAGCAGCTACTCAAGGTCTGAGGGCGAAGTTGTATGGCTGACTGACTGTAGAGAGGGGTGTGCTTCCTTCGGACAACTAGCATCTGTAGGGATGCTGTCTTTTCACAAGGAAGGAAACGGTTGGAAAAAGTCGACCCTAAAAAAATGTCACACCTCGCATTACCTCACGGACGTCTGTCTTCGGCTGTAAGGTTATTTGAGCAGCGGAGCATGTCAACTTCCCATAAAAATCACAGTATGATTCTTATTACCTCTAGTGTTCTCTCCTAGTTTCGTCTTCAGAGTTGGAAGCTGTTTTGTTGATGGTGATGGTATCTGGTCAATCGATCCAGAGTATCTTGCGTAAACAGTAGTTTTGTAAATAGATTCTTGTATCTTCTGAATAATGTTTTTTATGGGGAACCCTGAGTTTAAGCTCCGGGCAATAGAAATCCATCTGGAGCGCTTTTTCGGATTGCTGTCAGCAGTTTCAGTTCTGCATATTCATAATGTATGTCATTTGATCCCCTTAGATAATGAATCCAAAAACAATGATATTCATTAATCCTTTAGGATGTTTCCGATGGGCGTTAGAGAGAGAGATGGCCTTTTGATTTGACATTTTTCGATTGGCTTGCTACTATATGAGAGGCTTCAATGCATACTGTAATTTTACGACTGTTTAGAAATAGTTTCTCTGGTTAACAGTAGAAAACCATCAGCTTCAGAAACCTGGAAGCACTGGACGGTCGTTTCATCTTGGCATAGGATTGGCTCATCAGCAGTGCGCACCCACGAACTCCTGCAACTCGCAGGATTCGAACCCAGGACTTTCGGTCTTGCGCGCTAACGCCTTGTAGTGTGCCGATTTACTGCGTGTTCTTAAGCTCGGTAATTAGCTCGTCCAGACAATCGTTACTAACTAGCGTCTGACGGTTTATAAATCAGAAGGTGAACGCAAAGTGTTGAATACGTTTATTTGGGACACACCACAAAGCGAAGCGGAGAAACAGTGAATAAAAGGAATGAAGCGACTTGAATTGGAGAAGGCTGCTGAGCCAACTCAAAGAGATAGAGCACGACTAAGAATATATAGTCAGACAAAAATAAGACAGACATGTGACAAGCAAAATGAGCATGCACACACATGAATAAAAGTGACAAATGGTTGACAAGGTCAAATGACAAGTGGAACACGTCATGTGAGCTCATCCAAACCAGACAATAATAAGAACGAATGGTGCATAGAAAATTTTTGCAATACAAATGGCTTGGTTAAATAAATCAATCGAAAGGGCTTAACCAAATAAATGTAAGCGAACTGGAATATATGTGGAGGCACTACAGCCTCATCACCACTGGGCCGGCACGTGACGCTGGTAATTTTTAACTCTGATCAATCTAGAGATTTTGCACTGTTACGCCTGCACGTAAACATGTCAACTTGATATACTTGAACTATTACGAGTTTACCTAGTCGGAAAACGAGAGCGAGGATCCGGCGACACGACATACTACTCCAATCCGATTATCCCAAACCCCATATTTAGTAAAAATAAGAAGACCTGTTATGAAGTAGAACCTGTATTCTACAAGCATCCAGAGGTACGAGTTCGAAGTTCAAAAGAGAATCAGGATCCCAGACTGGGGATCTGGGATCAGGTCCTGGTAATAAAATGTTACACATAATGCGTATTTATACATTTTGTTCGAACGGGAAGCAGCATCGAAGTGTGTGACAATGACAGTTAAGACGACTAATAGGAAGTGACATTTGAAATGACATTGACAGTCCGGATGACCAATAAGAAACAACATTGAAGTATTTAACTTTGACAGTTAAAACGACCATAATTTTGACCAATAGAAATCGACCAATAGGCTTTGACCAATGATAATTCTCTTAGGATATTGGATGAACATCCTAACATGCCCGACCTCATCCATTTTTTCTCTTTGGTAGTTACTGCCTACACCCGAACCACGTTGAACTCCGTTTGGTCATGTCTACTCACTAGAACTACGAGAATTTCCTTCATGAAGAGTTGTTAGTCAGTAGTTTAAAATAAACTAAAACAATTTATAAGTTTCATTTTGTTATCTCCCTCTCTGTTTTTCTCTGTCTTGTTTTATTTTTTTGTGAAATCCAAATTTTTTTTGTTTTACAGATTGATCATCTGAGTTGGTGTTTTTTTTTTTAAAAAATTCAAACAATTATGATTTACAACAAAAGAAAATAAGAAACATGAAATTTTCAAAATCGGTGCCACCATAGTTCATCAATGTTTTTTTGTTTTATTTTACAACTGTCTCTATCACATACACACACACACATGCACATGCATTCACACATGTACCACCAGGATCAATGATGTATGTGCATGTACGTGTACAATGTGTGTGTGTTCCTGGTGATGAGAGAGAGAGAGAGGAACGTGTACACCAATGCCAACAACCTACAAACCTCTATCTATGTACACTTACACACACACACACACACACGCATACACACTGTAGACAAATGAAACTAGCAAGCCAGCATGTTTTATCAGTGTGCCAGAGTGTTGTGTTGTGTTCTATTAGTTTCGTTTTTGTGGGTTTCTAGTTGAAACTTTATGTACAGTGTACAATGTTGTCTCGGTTTAACGCTGATTACTTTGTCTGCGTGTGTGTGCGATTGTGTATTGTATGTACTATTGATTCTGTGTATTTATATATTTCCGATGAGATGATAGCACACACTCACTAATGATTATTCAAACAATATATGTAGTCTACTCACTCAGACAATACCTTTGTAAGTAGTATGCGTATGCGTGTATACATGTCAATTTTTACATTTTGCTTACATGAGCTAGAGAAACCGAATTAAACAAACACAGTATTAACATCATCATTCATCATTATTATCCAATGGTTTCTTACTCTTTCACATGCACACACAATTTTTATTGTTATTCATGTGTATTTTATCTAAAATTACGTTTGTTTCTCCATTTGTATTTTGTATTGTAAACTAACAGTGACAGCTACATCTACAACCACAACACTGACAAAAAAAACAATATTCACCATTGTGAACTTACTTAATTTGTTTTTTTTCCGTTTTCTTTCTAAAAAAAACAACAACAAATAATGAGAAAACATTTTTTTTTGGAGATAAACAACAACACAGTTTGTGTCTCTCTCTGTGTATGTGTGTGTGTGTGTACGTTGACTGAAAAATGAGAAACCATTTTGTGAAAAATTCTTATGTTTATGATTATTGTTGTGATGCGTTTTTACTTTTCTTTAAAAAAAAAATTAATTTTTTATTATTCGTTTGTTTTTCATTATTTTGTTATTTATTTGATTTTGATGAGTATCATCATCATGTTGAAAAATTTTCCCCTCATTTGGGGGGGGGTAAGGGGATGATATTCCCCTTAACCTTATCTTGCTCCTTGATGTCTAGTGCTTTTTATTCCAGGTTATAAATTTTTCTTTTCTAAAACTATCTAACAAGGTGTAAGTGTATGCGTGTGTGTGTGTGTAACATAATTTTCTGTGTGTATTTTTTCAAATTATACATTGTGATATAACATTATGACTCTTCTTTTTCTGCTGTTGTGCATTTGTGGATACGTACACGTATACAATCTGCTGCAGTGTGTGTGTATGCTCATTACCACCGAAAACTAGCTTTGTTGTCTATGGAATAATATACACACAAAAAGTACTTACTCGTTGATTTATCAGTAAGCGCCTGTCAATAAAAGGTGTTCCAAAGAAGTACATTAACCTTAAACAAGCTCTCTATTCGAACATTTCTGGTCGAGTGAGAGCTTATGGCGAACTATCATCGTAATTGGTTACTTCAAGTGGTGTTCGTCAGGGATGTCCACCTTACCCATTCTTGTTCAATTTTGTCATAGACATGCTGCTAGACACAACATTATCTTTGTCTGAATTTTCAGGAGTGGACCTTTTACCAGGAGACACGCTTGCTGACTTAGAGTATGCTGATGACATAGTCCTATTCGGTGAAGACACTGACAAACTGCAAAATCTTCTGACCAATAATGCAAGCATGTTCGCGATGCGGTTTTCCCCCTCGAAATGCAAAATGTTGCTTCAAGATTGGGTCGCATCGGTACCTAAACGAGTGGTAGGGGGTGAAGTCGTCGAGTGTGCGAACAGCTTCTCGGGAGTATTGGGACTGTATCAGTTGAGGTGGTTGGGACATGTGTTGCGTATGCCTAACCACTGACTGCCTCATCGAGCCATGTTTTGCGATATAGGAAAAGGTTGGAAGAAAGCTAGGGGTGGCCAGACCAAAACATGGAAGAAATCCATGAAGTCATTGACAACTGGGCTGAGTCATGTTACTAGGAGTAGACTAACTGGGTGTGTCTCGCGAAACGATTGTAATCGATGGTTAGAAACTATGAACGACATGGCTCAGAATCGTTCGCAATGGCGCAGGTGCATCGGCTCTTTGTGTTCTCTCAAACCCTTACTTTCTGAATTCCTCATCTCTATCTTTCTCTTTCTAAATTTATTTCACTGAATTATACTTCTCAAATCATGTCTTCGAACCCTAGTTTTCTCCAATATTGCTAATACCTCTACCACTATGCGATTCGAACTGACAGTTACGTCTCTGTGCTAATGTGGTATGGCAACCTGAACTGGTGTACTTACGTACGAAGTTCGACGTTGCTGTCCGTCGATTGATACTTATTTGTCTATATATTCTTCTTCTAAGAGAAAAAGAATTCATTTTGTTTGACTGATTGATTTGATATACACATTTGTTATTAGGTAAATGACTTTCTCATATGACGTCGCTGTTTTCGATCAACAGGAACATAGTTGATGAGTACCGTTTTGTCCGATTAACCACACGGATTAAAATATCTACATTGCTGTTACGAATTGCACGGGGACACGTCGTTTGATATGCTTGTACTATTAAGTCTACCTTAGTCGAAGAACGAGAGCGAAGATCAGTGATTCGGCGACACGAAAGGTTACTGAAATCCGAACGTCTCTAACCCCCCATTAAATTGAAAGATAAGACTTGATATGAAGCAGATCATGTATTCTACAAGCATCCGGAAAGTACGAGGTCTGAGTCCAAAAGAGAATGAGGATCCAGGCCCTAAAACGTTACAGATAATGCATATTTATACAGTTAGGACCACCAGTAAAAAACGCCATTTGATGGGACGTTGGTAGTTAGGACGACCAAAAAGGAATTCACAAACAGAAGTAGACGTACATATAATTCTCTTAGGATATTGGATGAATATCCCAACAAGCGTGTGATATTAACACATGAAGATTAACACCCTACTTATCTTTTACTGAAATTATGAGTCAATCAATCTTACACAACCATTAAAAGCCTGAAAGATGACCATTTTCTCCTGGTATAGTAAGTGAACGTATCAGCAGTGCTTATCCACAACTTCTCCTACTCGTACGACTTGATCTTTTGAACTTCGGTCTTGCACCTGAACGTCGGAACCACTGAACCTGCACTCAACGGACAGCCTAACTTTGATTAGTCAAAAGACGCTTGAGCAACCTCACTTTCAGTTAAAATCCACCAATTAATTTATTTATGCTGATATATATTGACAATGAAACAAAATTCCACATATATATAAAGAAGAAATCTATCTGTCTATCTATCTGTTCACAATGTCCTTAGTAAGCTAATTAATAATAATATTTATGACCTGGGTAAGAAAAATGAAAAGATTTTATGAATACAATTTTGATTTTAAGTAAAGTGCATTCGAATAAACTGAAGGTTTCTTAATTTTAAAACTTTTCTGAAATATTCTCTATTAAGTATTTGTATACAACATATATATATGTATATGATAATAGTAGGTATAAGTTGTCAATTCGTGCAGAAAATACGACATTTCATTTTTACCATATGTAACTTTCTATGATACTTCAAAACGTCAAAAAACTGTTCTTCGTTGAAGTATATGGTAGATAGACAGATACAACGCAGAACTTCGTACGTTCCAAAGGAAAATACTGTGAAGTTAACTAGTTCTTCAACTGACAAATGGACATCTCGTCTACACTACAGGTGACATAAGTTGACAAAAGTCAATTGAGCGTTTTGAATGTGTACTGATCTGTCGTCAATCATCAAAGTTGATTAGATTTCCAGCATACTCAACTACTTCGTTTCCTATGATTGATACAGGCGTTTACGTAGATTAGCCCTGAAGAAGCGTTTCGCATATCGATGGATAGACACTCCGATGGATTCGAGTCCTGCCTTAACCGGACGTCTGGGGTATGTTCATGCTCCAGAAGGTGGCTATAGGTAAATACTAAGCCTACACATCAACGACTAGGTATAAAATCTGTCTGGTTTTCCCGATTCCACTCTTCATAAGTCCTAGATAGGGATTGATTGATTACTGAAACATTATATCATTCAAACTGATTCCATTATGACAGTCACAAACGGAACAATGGGCGATTAGTTTAGACAAAATTACATCCAGTAGTTCCCCAACTTAACTAGTCAATCTAATAGCTAGAAGTGAACCGCTTCATACTCACGGATGTCTGACACTGATCAACTTTTTGAAACTTGTTGTGCGGCAGAGGGGTGTATTAATGTCTCATCAATATTATTTGGCAAGAATAAACAAATGCACTTTCTTCTCACCACCTTCGAAGTATGTAATAGGAGCTCTCATCATAAGTCTTATTTGATAATGAATGTTTCAACTCATCAAATCACCAACTCAATACAAATTATATTTCATAGCTGCTCAACATCATTTCATAATCTGACCTCTACTCTAAGATTACTTACTAATTTGAAAGCAATGCAAAGATTTATGTGTCTAAGTCATGGTCGACTGTAAAAGTTACCAAATAAAAAAAACTTGGGAAATTATTAAGCTGATAATACTAAATTATAATATGAATGAAGTCGGTCGAATGACGCGCGAGGTGATAAAAGTGGGTGAGTAGAGTTAGTTGTTGAAATGATAGAGTTTAGGGCGGATCTGGTTGTGACTAGTTCAGATTCATGTGCTGATACGAGTATGAGGGCGTATGTCACTTCGCAGCTGCCTACATCGTGAAAGGAACCCTAAAAAGGAAGTCGGATTAATGCTGATCTTAACGACCTGGGAGCGTGACCGCATAGCCCAAGGGACAACTGCTTAAGTCCAGTAACGCATGCCCTTTTTATAGGGAATTTGTAGTGTTAGCCTAGCTCTTTAAATGGCGTTGCGGCCGAGGACGTAAATCCGTCAGGTAAAGTTAAGCATTTTGAGCTAACTCTTTCACCTTCCCTGTGAGGCAGCACCGCTGTTGCCCGAGGGGAACAATTTACTGCTGTCAGCAATACGAATTCACCCTCAGACAATGAGTTGCTGTTTTTAGTCTTGCTGTTCTCCAATCGACCTGCCTGGCTGACATTGTAGAACCTACAGGAAGAGATGTTCCAACCGTTATAGCTCGGTTGGATCATTACGATAGAGGCAAGCCCGACCACCCGGCGTCAAGGTAGCAGCTACGGTCGAGATGAATGAGGTACGATAGTTGAAGCGTTTTTCGTCGTAAATAGAATGAGATGACATGATAAACAATTATGAACTAATTCATAAAGATATAACAAATAACTTGACTGACATTTTCAACTGTAAAACTAATGAGGTGAAATCCAAATATAATGGTTCAAGACCACAGGGAAAAGTAAAAGATAGAACTTTTCTATGTGCGTCACAGTTTATTTTCTTTGATTCCTAGAGTTTCTTGTTTTAAGGAGTTGAATATCAGACATTCGTAGATTTGAACAAAGTACGGCGAAGCTTGGTGGGAACGGAAGATCTGCCCATGGGACTAAGAAAACCTCCATACGTTCAAAGGGAACAAATGGAGTATGAACCTAATGATGGTCACCAATTATTATGGGACTGCATCACCTAATGTTGTTTCATTGCCTTGTCGGTTGAAGGCTCGAAAAGTGATCCTCTACGCAAACTATTTGCTTCGATTTTGGTACCCGGACATTATCCTAATCCATTCGAAAATCTGCGTGAGCATAAACATTTAGGTGTAGACTTGCATTATCGTGTTGTTTGTATTCAACACTGAGTTTGACCAGTCTCATAGATCTTTAGCGAGTAGTCTGTTATTGCCCTAAATTATAGTTCGAGGCATCATTTTAGACTGCAATTAGTGATGAAATTCAGAGTTTCATGTCATAGTTGATGAGAGGAATATTTCTACATTTAAGTGCGAATCTTGACAAAGAGATTTAAGACCAATGCCTCTCGTTCCAAATCATAATCCTTACATCGACTAAATGTGATTCTCATTGAGTAGTAGTTTTCCAAATCAATGAGTTTTGTCATTGTGTATATAATACCACACACTGTCAACTAAATCACTTTTAACAAGTTCGGTCTTCATGCAGAAGCCGAGTTCCTTTGCTTGTGCACGAACGCCTAACCTTCAAAACCACTAGGACATCAGCCAGCAGTGTAAAATATTTCTTTAACTCCAATCAATCGACGATAGTGCTCGACCATCATCGATTGTCTTCCGCAGACAACCTCACACAAAAAACCATTGAATTTCACTAATCAAAGCTCCTCATTATTAGGACATTCAGAGAACTTCCCCACGAAACTAGTAAGCAATGAGCACATGATAATTTTCAGTAAAGGGTAACATTTGTTGCACAAATCAGCAACAATGAGATTGAACTAATAAATACCTGATTAAAAACCATACAAAGTCAGTATTCTTTCAATTGGAATATATATATATATATATATATATATATATATATATATATATATATATATATATATCATGTCAACTGTAGCAATCATAAATTTCATGTCAATTTTTAAGCGTAAATCTCACTTTCAATAGAATCACATAATAGTCCACAGTTGAGTCGAGTCTAGTATAGTCTAGAGATCCATACACACACACACATAAACAAAACTATTAATCGATCTATTTCATGGCTGAGTGAGAAAACAAACAAACAAACGAACGAGAGAAAATATTACTAATTAGCAGTAGTAGTGGTTATCGTACTTACTAGGTTGCTTTATCAAAAAAAACAACACTGATTTGCCCTAACTATCTGTCTGTCACAATAACATGAATGAATATATATGTATATATATATAATATATGTATATGTATATATATAGAAATGTAAACCTTTGAAAATATAAAAAAAACAGCAAACCACAATGAAAATAGAATTAACACAATGATGAATGATGAATAAAGTGACATGAGAAAAAAACAATTAAGATAGAGGAGAGAGAGAGAGTGAGAGTCAGTCAGTCACTCACTCACTGATTGACTGACTGACTGAGTGAGAGAGAGAGTAATAAGGATAATAAAAAAAGAAATGCTTTTTACAGTAGAGAATAAAAAAAGAGAGAAAGGAGGAGCCACAAAGAAAAGAAAAATTCGATTAAAACTTGTTCTACACACACACGCACGCACGCACACACATACATACATACATACACAACACAGAATGATTTCACCTATTCTGTGTAAGTAAGAATCGAATGTGTATGTATGTATATATATGTATGTGTATATATATAAATTTGTATTTGCTAAATGATTGTTAACAGAGAAATGTTTTACATAATTCATAATTACTGATCATTAAAAACAGACAAACAAACAAACGACGTGGAGCGCGAGGAGGAGGATGAGGACGAGTAGTAGGCGGTGAAGATACACGGTTAGCTGTTTTTCTATTTTTTCTGTTCATCAATCTTTATCCCTTTTTTTTCAAGAAAAAAAAACGGAAAAACAAGGAAGACACATACACAAACAACATCATAAGAATAATAATTTCGTTTTGATTGTAGTAGTAGTAGTAGGAGTAATTGTGGTAGTAGCAGTAGTAGTAGTAGTAATGATAAAAATCATACAGTATCATATAACTTGTGTATATGTATATATTTGTATATGTAAATACTAGTATGCATAAGATGTACCGGGTTAAAATAAGAAACACTGTAAATGAATAAATACACACATGGTCATATTAGTAGTAGTTCCACAAGGAGAGTCGATCGACGGCAGTGTTGCGCGGTAGAGTGGGGGGCGGCGCGATGGAGACTAATTAAAACTATTTTTTTTCCTCCATCTCCTGCTCCGAGCAAATATCAATATCAATGTCACTGTGCTTACAAGTGCGCAGGCTGGCGCGCGCGTGTGCACACACACACATATACACACATTCACCGACAGTTTTGCGTTTTATGTAGAATTGGATACAAAAAATAAATATGTGTACATATATCTATTTTATGCATATGCATATATATTATCAATCATAGTTCATACATGATCTTCAATTTCTTCTTTGGAAAAATAATGATCAACAGCACAAAGATCAATTTGAATATTGACAAAGCCAAACGACTGCCATCATCATCAAAAGCAGCAGCAGCAACATCGGTAACCAGCTCACTTTGGGTTGGCTGTCCAAACATATGAACAAAACAAAATTCCAATTCCAATGGACAAAATAAATCGATGTGAGATGAGTTGAATTGGGGGCCACTGAATCATAAATAGGATTGGTTGATGATTGTACACTACCACTATGTTATAAAATAATGTATGATTGTTAGGCATATATATTACTAATGATAATAATGATAACAGTAAGTCTTACACTACATTACACAGAATAGTTCTAGTAGTAGTAGTGGTAACAGTAGCAGTAATAATAATAACAATGATTATACTCCTCACGAATTAAATGGTGTTATATATATATGTATACATACATACGAACATCATTCATAATGATAATAGTAGTAGTACGTGTGAATGAGACAGAAAGGCTCACTGGTTCGTTCATACACACACACAGTGTATATGTGTGTGTGTGAGTAGTGCATGTCAGTGACTGAAGAAGGAAGGGTAAACACAATTAAAAATACAAGTACACAAATTATACATTGATTGATGCATACAATTGATTAAAGATCATTATTATGATATAGAAATAAGCTGAAGGTAAATAATATAAATACAGGTGTACAGTTATTTCTTTTCTTAAAAAAAGGCAATACTATAAGGCAAAGAAGAAACTGGTCTTCTCCAATGGAAACTATGCACACACACACACACAAATCGACTCAAACAAAAGGAAGATGACAGTATACATTTATATATATAACTATATATAGCGTATATACACAAACATACTACTTAATGTGTATTTTAATAAGAGGAAGAGATGAAAATCAACACTGTCAGTTATTATTATTAGTATTATTCAAACGAAGCGCTACTCAAAAATAATTAATCATCATCATCATCATTGAACATTGATCAGTCAAGAAAGGAGAAGTAAAAATAAATAAATAAATCATTTTCTATTGATTTGAATGTTACAATCAGTCCGGTGTTCAATATTCAATACTGATGACAATGAGGCGGAGGTGGAGAACTGCAGCAATAACCACAACAACAAGAATAAATCAGCTGACATGAGGTGTGTGTGTGCGAGATGAAGGATTATTGTTTTGTTTTTAAATTTTGGTAATGACAATTAAAACAAAAAAAACAAATGGGAGGCGGGGCGGGCAAAGAAATTCAATTTTTTTGTTAAAAAAAAAAAAGAAAATCAATATAATAATAATAATAAATCATTGTCATTATTAGAATGATAATTTTGATTGATTGATTGATTGATTAATTGAAGAAAGTGAGAGAGAGAAAATAAGAAACAAAAATTTAAATTATCTCATTGTTTGCAATGGATTAATTGATTGTGTGATTGAGGTAAAAACTTTTTATTTTTTTCAAAAAAAAGTACTATAAAATACACATTACAAATTGTGTTGTGTTGTATTGGCGATGATGTTGATTCGTTGAAGAAGAGAATGAAGACCAATACAGAGAGGGAGAGACAGCGGATTCGGGGAAACAGAAATAGTAACAACAGCAGTAAGCAGAGTAAGTCAGTAAGTGACAACATGTATAAATGTGTGAAGTAAATCATGCATTTCGGAAAAAAAAGTACTTTGAGTAAGTGAGCGAGCGAGGCAGAGAGAGACAGAAAACATCAAACCAAGACAAGAGATCAATAAAAAATGTGTATGTGTCATACTAGTTGTGAATGCACAACACTAAATCTATGGAAGGCTAATTGGAAATCATGTTTTTAACAATGATGATGATCTTGACTTCGGTTGATATTGATTGAATAATCATCGTAAAATGAAAAACACAGAGAGAAAACTGACATTGATATACACACACGCACACACACACTTACACGAAGTGAATAAATAAACAAATCGATAGAAGGGGGAGAGCAACACAATAACAATAAAAATGAAACAAAAAAATAAACAGATGAGAGATCACATAGGGAATTGAGATAATGCTGATAACGATGATGTGAATTTAAAACAATTTTTTCAATCATTCATTTTACACAAACAAAATTAGAAGAGTAAAAACATTTTTATTACAATAATGATTATGAATAGATATAAGAAAAAAAAAAAGAGGAATAAATTTACTGGTATTCAAACATGTAGTTAGTGAGTTAGTTAGTTGTGTGCGGTATAGCAGCACAAAAATGAACATCTACCGCCTCTCTCTCTCTCTCTATACACACATACACACACACACGCATAGAGAAAGGGACAAGTAAAATCGAGCAAAAAAAGGAGACAATATATATGATCCTAATGTTGAGTGTACAATTTTACAATTGAAGACAAACTACTACTACTACTACTACTGGTACTCACTGCTCTTTTACATATGCATATGTGTGTGTCTGTGAACGTGTGTGTGTGTGTGTGTGTGTGCTGATATCCTTCTTATTTGAGCTATACATACGTACACATATATATGAGTAGATAAATAATCAAACGGTGCCCCATCATTTCAACTGTTCGTTTTTATGTGTACATATATGTGTGTGTGCTTGTGTTCGTATATACGGGCGCACATGTGTGTGTGTCTCTCTCTCTCTACATTTGCGATGCTGCCGAATGTGGTAAATAATACGGTGAGAAGAAAATGCTCGGTGATGGTTGTAGTACATGCAGTACTGGAGCAGTACTACTGTTGGTGTTGTTGTTGTTACTCGAATCCATACCACTGCTAACTCGTGTCGTCGCAGAATTATGCTGCTGCTGTTGTTGTTGCAGTGTGGCAGTGCTTTGTGCAATTTGAAAATGATGCTGTAATTGCAGTGATGATGATAATGACGATGCATCGGATAAACTACTTGTTGAAGGACAATGAAATTGATGATGTTGTTGTACAGGTGTACCGGTTGTTGTTGTTGTTGTTGCTGCTGGTGTTGTTGTAGATGACGATGATGATGATGCTGACGTCAACTGACCATTAGTATTATTATTCAAAATCGATCGATCCGATTCATTTGGACCACCATTATTATTACTATTATTATTGAATAAAGGTAATGTGACAAATGTCGGTGTAGCTGCAGCAGCTGCTGCTACAACACTAGCAGCTGATAACATAGTTGTACAATTACCACTACTACTACTACTTGATTGATTTAATTGAGATCGTGGCACAGTGACCAATGGTAATTGTTGTTGATGTTGAACTGCTGTTGCTGCCGATGATGATGATGACGGTTGATTAGATTGAACTAATTGTGTAGGTGAGATCGTAATAGTGGAAAAATGTGAACCGGACACCATAGCAGCAGCGGCAGCAGCAGCTTGTTGTCGTTGTTGTACAACAGAGGAAGGAATTAATTGAGCTTGTGATACATGATTAATACCTGCAGCAACACCGGTACCTGTAGCTAAAATTGGCCATACTGCTGTAGCAGTAAGTTGATGTGATGTGACTTGGTCGGAACTATGCTGTTGTTGTTGTTGATCTTGACCTTCAGAAACAGTCAACAGATTACTACTACCAGATGATAAACATACTTGTTGAATGGAATTATTCAAATCACCGGGTAATATTTCTTCGACTTTACTCACTGGCAACAAAGTAATTGTTGTAGTAGTTGATCGATTACCATTATTATTATTATTACTGCCATTATTATTAATTGAATCGGATAATGAATCCGTTTTATTATGTGATTGTCCTAACAATGCACCACTGACTACTTCTTCTAAACTTGACAATGTACCACCAATATTTGTAGTTGATGTAATTGTTCCTAATAGATTTAAATTATTAAGATTTGTTCCAATCCCGCCGCCGCCGCCACCACCACCATTGCCACTTTTACTATGGGTACGTCGATGATTCACCAATGAACCATAATGTTTATATGATCGATCACATAGGCCACATGAAAATGGTCTATCCAATTTATGCACAGCTGCATGTCGTACTAAATAACCACGTTGTGTGAATGCACGACCACAATCAATACATATAAATGGACGAATATTTGTATGACATCGAAGATGTGCAGCAAGACGACATTGAAAAGCAAAACGACGTGGACATGCCGGACAAGGATAATTACATGGACGACCTTTACGATCTAATGGAACTGGACCACCGATAGCAGCTGCGGCAGCACCGGCAGCCGCTGCAGCAGCATTCACATCGATACCTTCGCTTAGATTAATACCAGCTAGAATGTTTAATCCATCACCGGTCTACAATAATAACAACAATAATAATAAAAGAAGAATGACATTGAATGATTGCACAAATTCTCTTTGTTGCTCTCAATGAAAATTAGTTATGTTATATCCATAGGGATAGTTTAAAATTGAGTGAGCATTATATATTATTTTTATAGAAATCGTTGCTTTTATTTCACACTAAAATCATTAATGAATTAATTTTAGGCCCGGATGGCCGTTTAGTCATGGTATGGGACTACGCACCCTGCTACTCGCAGGATTCGAACCCAGGACATTCGCGGTCTTGCTCACGAACACTTAACCTCTGGACCACTGAACCGGTATCCAACGATATTGATGACTCACTTTCATCAATCTAGAGATTTTGCGCGACCTCACCCTGAGTAGTTATTGCACAAACCCGACAGGGGTTGAGCTCTACTGGTTACGTCTTCTCACTAAAACTCCGAGAATATTTCCCCAAAGCTAGTCACTTATGGGAACATTTTTTGATTTCAGCATTATACTATTCGCAGGAGTAGTAGATATGGACTGCTGATGAGTCTCATACTATCAAGACTAAACTACCGTCCAGTGCTTATTTCAGGTTTCCAATAATGGTCTAACAATAATTCACTCATGATTTTTATAGATATATACACATTATTTATAACTAATCCATTCTCCAATTGTTATTATCTTTCAAATCAGAACAATCAAATAACATTTAAACAAAACAGCATCAAAATGATAAATCTGTAGGAAGAAACAAAAACAAAGAGTGAATGTTACTTGTACCTGAGTCATGAATGTCTGCTATATAACATCTTCTTTCTCTTCACAATAATGCAATAAACACAAGCGGCCTAGATTCATGTAACCTCCATCTATTGAAATAGCCTTAGTTAAATAGTATTTAGTGAATTGTCTAACACTCCTTCCTCACTATGTTTTACTTCTAATTTATTTCTAACACAACACTATTCTCAATTTCGCAGTACATCGACGTAGACAGATGGTAGAAGTAGTAGTAGTTGGTGCACAGGTATATTGATACTATGTCCCAGTCGACAATAATTTACCATTTTTATCTAGTATCATTCATTCATTACGAATGCTCTATACACTTTTCAAGATCATAATGCGGCTTGCTCAGACACACACACGCACATGCCTGTTGTCGCGTAAACTCATTGCAAAATATTAATCATAATCAAAAATGAACAAATTACACTGATATTCACAGAGAGATAGAAAACAACTTATCCTAATATTCAGATATATAAACCACTTTAAAATAGTTAATAGTAGTGTGATAGATACTACTCATAAAGTGCTTCATAAGTAGTATTGGAGCGGAGCGCAGCGTAGCCTGGAAGATGTTACCAAATGAGTAACTGGATGTTGAAATGCACAGTGTGATCAGAAGACAGTTAATATGGGGATTGAAGATGTCTTCTCCATGTGGTTTTGACTTCTTCTTGCCTAGTGTTAACGACAATGTGATCATAGAGTGTCAACTTTAATTTACTACCTTGAACTAATGATAATTTTCAGTCCAAAATACCAAATGTGTATATATAAACCACATAATGTACTAAGGAGTTATAACGCAAGAAGAAGAAGAAGGGTCAACCACAGATTAAATGATCATCATTTTACAGAGAGAGGGAGAGCGAGAGAGAGAGACATAACAAACCAAAAACAAAGACACAGCACAGTATGTGTGTGTGTGCACTTACCAATTTACCAAATGCATTTTGAGCTTGTTTCGGTTTGGATTTTCGACGCCATTTTCGTTTATTCGGTGATCCAATATTTGTTGTCGTTGTATTGGTTAGGGTTGTACCTAAAATAGAATCCATTGTTCCATCATCATTATTATTATGATTATTATGACTAGGGATAGATGCAGAAGACATGAGGATTGCATGTTGTAGATCATCTGTGTGAAAAAGGGATTAATGTATGAATGACACAAGCTAGGCTAGTACTACTACGATTAATCTTAAACTTGAGAGGATGCGAAAGTATAGAGGAGGGGCAGACAGACAGACAGACAGATACAACGCACAACTTCGTGTAGCACCTCACATATATCTTGTACTTTTATCGTTGTTGAGCTTGTATGCGCATGTACGCTTGGGCATTACTTGCCACCTACACATATAGAACAGTTTGAATAATTCGATGTTAATATCGACTATACATATTTGAATTAAATCCCATATTTGTATCGGTCATTAAATAATTTGAATAATAAAGAAATTGTGGCAACGACTCGTGTTCTCTCGTAGCGATCATCAAGACGGAGATATACTGGGAATCGAAGATAACTAAAGTTTAACGCCACAATAAATTGGTGAGTCCGCTGAAATAACACAACGCCGTTTCCTACGACTTCAAAGGAATATGTCTCCGTCTCCATTCGATTTATTACTGTGGACTTTAATAACGTTTGCTGAATAATATTATCGTATTTTCATTTCACCTTTATTATTTCATCCATATTATTGAAAATATTAACGTTCACACGTAACGTCATTATACATACAATTGCTAAACTGCTGCTGTTCCGTAAGTCTGTTCTGTGTTTTAACATATTATTTCTTATTAACATTACTGTCTATCTATTTTCCTTCTGTTATTCATTAATCGCTCTATTTTTGTATCACTCATTTGTATTAATATGTCCTCAAATAACGGTACACCAAGTCTGTCTCACATAGCGTCTGTGAAATTCCATAATCTACCTACCTATTCCTCCTTTTCAAGTCACCGACCCACACCTATGGTTTATTAGACTTGAAAATTACCTCTCGGTTAATTGCATTATGTTACAACGAGATGAATTCGGCTACGCATGTGCACTGCTCCCGGACGAAGTAGCTGAAATTGTTCGCGATGTTTTAGCTAAACCGCATCCAGATACGCCATACAACGAATTAAAAGGTGCAGTCGTAAAACCATCTCGTTGACCGACCAACAATCCCTACACCAACTCCTCAATGGAGTAGTACTTGGTAACATGACTCCGTCACAACTAAAAAATTACATGAGTACCATGATAGGCGACAGAAAGATAGATAATAACATGTTTTATCAATTGTGGCTCCGACGACTCCCGCAAATTATTTAGAAAATCCTAGCAACTGAAGATAAGGGAGTAGATATAGATCATATTGCGGAAATAGCTGATAAGATCTACGAAAGAATGGAAACACCAAGTCCACAGATACATCATACCACAGTTAAGACTGAAATCGAAGATATAAAAAAAGAAATTCGCCATTTATCTCAAAACTTTTCCAAGCTAAATCTGAAATAGAGACCTAAAAGACGATCACGAAGTAGGTCTCGCAACAAATCTCGATCACGCTCTCGCACAGGTGCAACACCTACGTTATGCTGGTATCACCAGACTTACGGCAACCAAGCTAGAAAGTGCAGACCGCCATGCGGGTTTAAAAATAATACAACGGGGAAACGGTCCCGCCGGTTGCCGGTGACGGCTGCGACAACTGGCGAAACACCAAAAAACAGTCGTCTATTTTACATTAAGGACAGAATACCCGACCGAAGCTGCTACCTTGACGTGGTGGTCGGGCTTGCCTATCGTGATCACCCAACCGAGCTATATTGGCTGAAACATATGTTCCTGAAGGTTCTACCATGCCAGGTAGGTCGATTGGAGAACGATGAGACTAAAAGCAGCTACCCAGGGTCTGAGGGCGAAATCGTACTGCTGAATGACTTCAGAGGAGTATGGCAGCAGTAAGGTGTTTCCCTCGGACAACCAGCATCTGCAGCGATGCTGCCTTCTCACAAGGAAGGAAGGGTTAGAAAAGGTCGACCCTAAAGATGTCACACCTCACCCTACCTCACGGATTTCCGTCTCCTTGGGTAAGGGTGCCCACTAAGGGCCTTCAAGAGCGGAGCTAATACTCAAAAAACCTTTAACAAAAAGGCCGTGCGTGACCGGCCTCAAGCAGTTGTCCGCTGGGCTCTGTGGTCACGCACCCAGGTCTCCAAGACCATCACTAATCTATCTTCCTTTCCAGGTCCCTCAAGAAACAACCTTCCACGGAGTGGGCAACCGGGAAGTGACAACCGCCCTCATACCCGTAACAGCACACGAGACAAAATGGGTCAAAACCAAATCCTTTCTACACCCCCTAATACCTCTCTTATCTCCACGACTAACTCTTCTCACATTCGTTTATCACAGTGCACAGCTAATGCAAACGATACGAGTTCGCGGAACGTCATTCCTGGTCTCCTTAAACCCCGTTCTAAACTGCATATTGGAGCATTTAATGTACGGACATTGTTTCAAATCGGGCAACAGGCCTCATTAGCTAGGACTTTAGAATCTCGTGCCATCGATGTATGCTGCGTCTCGGAAACGCGCATACAGGATCCGAGTAGCATCGTTCACCTGACCTCACCATGTCAAGATAAAGAAGCCACTCAATTTACCCTTCGTGTATCCGGTAAACATGATGCTGCTTCCCGGGGTCTCGCAGGTGTAGGTATAGCATTAAGTCGTAGGGCAGAACAATCTCTCCTTGACTGGATCCCTGTAGATAGTCGCTTGTGCGCCGTCCGATTAAACGGGACAGTAAGGATCCGACAGGATAGGGACAGTCGTCGTTGCCTGGGACATGTGTTACGAATGCCTAACCACCGACTGCCGCGACGAGCTATGTTTTGTGGTGTAGGAGTAGGTTGGAAGAAAGCTAGGGGTGGCCAAACCAAAACATGGCACAAATCCATGAAGTCACTGACAGGCAGACTGAGTCTTGTCGGTAGATGCAGACTACCTGATTGGCGTCCGCGAGACGAAAGTCACTGATGGTTAGAGACCTTGAACGACATGGCTCAAAATCGTTTGCAATGACGCAAGTGCATCCATTCGTTGTGCTCTCTCAAATCCTAATCTTCTGGATTCGTCAGCACCTCTACCTTTGTCTTTCTAACCTTATTTCACCTAATTATACTTCTTGAATAATATCTTCGAACCCTAGTCTTCTTCATTACCATTAATACCTCTACTATCTTTATCACTATGGGATTTGATTTGACATCTGCGTCTTTGTGCTAATGTGGTATGGCAACATGAACTGATGTACATACGTACGTAGTTCTACGCTGCAACTGACTGACTGGCAGGACAGAATAACAGGTGCCCAATTTTTAGTAGATACAGGAGCTGAAGTAAGCGTCGTGCCACCAGTGAGTAATGAATGATCGACGAAATATCAATACGGCACTAACACTACAAGCAGCAAACAAATCGGACATAAAAACATACGGAAAGCGAAAAATAACTTTAGATTTCGATCACATTGTAACAAGAAGTGCACCTTGTAACGCACGACCACGACGCCTAGACCCAAAAAGGTTAAACATTGCGAAACAGGAATTTGACAAAATGATGAAACTTGGTATAATACGGCCATTGAGTAGTCCCTGGGCATCTCCGTTACATATGGTACAGAAAAAGAATGGACAGTACAGACCATGTGGAGATTATAGAGCTCTTAATAAACAAACCGTTGCTGATAGATATCCAGTGCCACATATCCATGACATTACTAACGACATGGAGGGTGCCACTATCTTTTCGAAGATTGACCTTGTTAGAGCTTATTATCATATCCCCGTGGCGCAGGAGGATATACCGAAAACGGCCGTAATCACTCCATTCGGATTAACAAATGCAGCTCAAACCTTCCAGAGATTCATCGACCAGGTTGTTAGAGGTTTGTCAGGCGTATATGTATACATTGAAGACATACTTGTCGCTAGTGCTACACCGGAAGAACATCTACAACAACTAAGACAGTTGTTCAATAAACTACAAGAACACGGTATCGCTATTAACGTTGAGAAATGTGAATTTGGAAAGAAATCACTGCAATTTCTAGGACACATAATAAATTCTCAAGGCATCACACCAGTTCCATCAGAAGTTGCAGCTATTCGTGATTATCCGTTGCCCAAATCAAAAAGGAAATTACGACGATTCCTCGGGCTAATTATTACTACAGACGATTCATTCCAATATTGCAACCGTTAACAGATGCTTTGCGAGGACGCGCCCGAAAATTTCACTTGTCAGCAGACGCCATACAGGCGTTCGAGAACGCTAAACGCGTGCTAAATGAGAGGACAATGTTAGTACGACGAAAAAACGAAGCTCCATTAGCCATCATGACTGACGCGTCGGACATCGCTGTTGGAGCCGTGTTACAGCAGTTCGTAAACGACACATGGGAACCAATTTCATTCTTTTCTAAAAGATTAAGTCCCACACAAACGAGATACAGTACGTTCGGAAGAGAACTGCTAGCAATATATTTATCAATAAAGCACTTTCGACATATGCTTGAGGGCACCATTTTCACAGCGTACACAGATCATAAACCTCTCACGAAAGCATTAAACGCCAAGCACGACAACTATTCACCGAGGGAAATTCGACAACTGGAATTTATTTCTCAATTTACGTCTAGCATACAATATATTAAAGGTCATAATAACGAAGTAGCAGATGCATTATCAAGAACGATGGTCAATGCCCTCATCCAATCTGACACTGACTATCACAAACTCGCAGCGTTGCAAAATATGGATGTTGAGCTAAGCAGGCTAAGATCATCCAATACAACTTCTTTGATACTCTGAGAAACTCCATTCGGCAAGGTAAACCTAATGTGTGATATTTCTACAGGCCGTTTATTCCAAAGCCGTTTAGACGAAAAGTTTTCGAAACTATGCATAATATATCACATCCTGGAATTAAGGCGATGATCAGTCTGATCAGCGAACGTTTTGTATGGCCAAGTATGAACCGAGATGTTCGTAAATGGACGCAGGCATGCATAAAATGCCAGAAAGTTAAAGTTCATCGTCACACAAGATCAGCAGTAGGTCCTTTCCATCATCCAGACAGCCGGTTCGAGCATATACATATCGATATTGTGGGACCACTGCCAATTTCAAATGGCTTCAGTTATATTTTTACCTGCATCGACAGATTCACGCGATGGCCTGTGGCAGTGCCCATAAAAAATATTTCAGCGGAGGCCGTAGCTAAAACCTTAGTTGAACATTGGATCTCATATTATGGAGTGCCAGCTAATATTACAACCGATAGAGGAGTCCGATTCGAAAGTCGTCTTCTTCAACAACTTACAGAACTTCTCGGCATTAAACGTGATACGCACAACATCTTACCATCCGATGGCAAATGGTATGGTAGAGAGATTACACCGCCAACTGAAAGCATCTCTCACAGCTGTTATCAGCAATAATGATTGGGTCAGCAAGCTTCCATTAGTCATGTTGAGTTTAAGATCGACAATTAAACAAGATATTGGATGTTGCCCTGCAGAGTTAGTTTATGGAACTACTCTACGTCTACCAGGAGAGTTCTTCACCTCAAGTAAAAGTGTTCCAACTGATATATCCAACTACGTACATCGTCTAAAAGAACACATGAATGATCTTAGAATAACGCTTCCAAAGATAAACATCGGGTATATATTCCGAAACAATAGAACGACAGAAGAGATAATGTGCAACGTCCTTTACAACCGACCTACGATGGTCCATTTAGAGTGATTAAAAGAAACGATAAAACTATTACAGTTGATAAAGCTGGAAAAACGGATGTAGTTAGCGTCGACCGAGTCAAACAAGCCTTTATTGAAAGTGACGAACAGCTGATGAGTACGAATCCTTCGAAAGCCAACGAATCACCGAAATGCGAGTTACAACTATCAGAGACACATCAACGCAAAAAAGTGAAGAAAGTCCACGAACGACTAGATATGGACGAAGCTCACAAACACACACGAACTCGAACTCACGCAAACAAGATAACCTTGTCTTTAGCAACATTTTGATATTTTCGAATGATTTTTTTTCGCAAACACAGACACTTTTGTAACTTTGTTTGATGGAAGGGAAGCTATTGTAGCACCTCACATATATCTTGTACTTTTATCGTTGTTGAGCTTGTATGCGCATGTACGCTTGGGCATTACTTGCCACCTACACATATAGAACAGTTTGAATAATTCGATGTTAATATCGACTATACATATTTGAATTAAATCCCATATTTGTATCGGTCATTAAATAATTTGAATAATAAAGAAATTGTGGCAACGACTCGTGTTCTCTCGTAGCGATCATCAAGACGGAGATATACTGGGAATCGAAGATAACTAAAGTTTAACGCCACATTCGTACGTACGTATATCAGTTCAGGTTGCCAAACCATATCAGCACAGAGACGAAACTGTCAGTTCAAATCCAGCAGTGATAGCGATAGTGGAAGTATTAGCAGTAATGGAGATTAGATAGCGAAGATATGATTCGAGAAGTATAATTCAGTGAGATAAATTTAGAAGGAGAAAGATTGAGATTATGAGGAATGCAGGTTAGAATTATAGAGAACACAAAGAGTGGATGTACCTGCGACATCGCAAACGATTCTGAGCCATGTCATTCAAGGTCTCTAACCATTGGTTACTTTTCGTCTCGCAGACACCAACCAGGTAGCCTACACCTACCAACATAACTCAGTCCACATGTCAGCGACTTCATGGATTTCTGCCATGTTTTGGTTTGGCGAGGAGGACTTAAATGAATTTATGTAATCCACATGAATACATAACCATCATTTGTAACTTTTTAACACGATAGTTGTTGAAGGTAATAATGAGCTATAATAGAACTTTTTCATGCTAGTCAAGAAAGTCAATGTTTACAGTGTGTGTGTGTGTGTGTGTGAATACGAAAAAATGGTACGAATTCAAGGACTCAAGCTGAAAATCACGCTACAAAATATGCGAAAGTGTAACAAAAGTAGATTTTCTCTCACAGAATACACATATCGATTCGGAATACAATCATGTTACCTTTCTATAGTACACATTCAGACGTCACACAGTAGCAGTATTCATGGAACTTAAGGCCGCATTCAACTCTATTAATCGTCAGATTCTATGGCAGTGTCTGTCACTGAAAGGAGCACCAGAAAAATGCATTAACCTTATAGAAGCTGTCTACTCGAACACCACTGGTCGATTGAGAGCTTATGGAGAACTGTCATCAGAATTGATTACCCCGAGTGGAATTCGGCAAAGTCGTCACCTTTCTCCATTCTTATACAACTTTGTAGTAGACATGCTTTTAGATAAAACATTATCTTCGTCTGAATTTTCAGGTATGGTCCTTTTATAAGGAAACACGCTTGTTGACTTAGAGTATGCTGATGACATTGTTCTACTTGGTGAAGATGCTGAAAAAATGCAGTCTTCTGACTACCTTGAGCAACAATGCAAGCATGTTCGGGATGAGGTTCTCACCCTCGAAATGAAAAATGTTGCTCCAACACTGGCTTGCGTCGGCACATGAAATAGTCACAAGGAGCGAAGCAGTTGAGCGTGCTAACCGTTCCACTTATCTCGGGAGTCTCATCAGTCCTGTCTGATGAAATCTCAGCACGGGTACAGAAGGCTTGGTAGGCGTTTGCCAACTTGTGTCACTTATGGCGTAGGCGAGATATTCGTTTGCTAACCACAAGATGAATGTATTGCACAGTAGTTCGTTCGGTCCAACTATATAGCTGTGAAACATGGCCGGTTAAAGTAGGGGATATTCATAGGTTACTAGTATTCGATCATACGTGTCTTCGAAGCATTTCTCGTATACCTTGAGACAATCGAGTAAACATTTCTGTTTTTAGGAAATGTAAGGATGGCGAATCAATCGATGAAGTAGTGAAACTTCATGAGTTGTGGTGCTTGGGACATGTGTTAAGACTATTATCTTGAAACACTGATCTCTCCGATTACTGCTAATACTTCTACTACATCTATCACTATGGGATTCGAATCGACAATTGTACCTCTGTGCTAGGTTACTGGTTTTCGATCATAGGTGTCTTCGAAGCATTGCTCGTATATCGCGGGACACCCGAGTGAGCAACGCTGTTATTAGGAATCGGGTGCTAGGTAAGAATGGCCGATCTATCGATGAAGTGGTGAAACTTCACCAGTTGAGGTGGTTGGGACATGTGTTGCGTATGCCCAACCACCGACTGCCTCGTCGAGCCTTGTTTTGTTGTGTAGGAATAGGTTGGAAGAAAGTCAGGGGCGGCCAAACCAAAACATGGCACAAATCCATGAAGTCATTGACAAGTGGACTGAGCCATGTCGGTAATTGTCGACTACCTGGTTGGGGTCCGCGAGATGATAATAATCGATGGTTAGAGACCTTGAATGACATGGCTCAAAATCGTTCGCAATGCCGCCAGTGCATTTATTCTTTGTGTTTTCTCAAACCCTAATCTTCTGGATTCTTCAACCCCTCTAGTTTCGACTTTCTAAACTTTTCTCATTGAATCATACTTCTTGAATAATATCTTCTAATCCTAACCTCTCCGATTATTTCTAATTCCCTTACTACCTCTTCTACTATTGGATTTGAATTGACAATTATATCTCTGTGCTGATGTGGTATGGTGACATGAACTGATGTACTTACGTACGAAGTTCTACGTTGCAACTGACTGACTGAGTAAAAACTAACTAGGGCATGAAGATACATCAAACTGATGAGTTTCGAATAGGATGAAATCCGTGTTCTACAACACTCTACTCCTAGAAACATGAACTGATGTACAAAGTTCTACGTTGCATCTGACTGACTGACTGACTGATATTTTGCAACAGGAACAGTCCAGTTCGATATGATGAACTGATATTTTGCAAATTAACGATTTACGATATGGTTTTCCGATTTTACTGAGTAACTCTGCAATTTTCGTAAAAATGCAATCCGGTTGCCCCACCTGTGTTCTCGTTCACTACACTACTACTACGAAGTAAAAAAAAGTAGGAAAGAGTTTACTCACTTCCATTTAAAGACATTGTTGGGATACCATTCACTGTGGCAGTTGAAACATAAGATGTTAATCCTGGTAAATGTGTGAATGCTTCAGAAAGTGAAGATGAACCACTAGCTGCGGCGGCTGCCGCTGCCGCGGCCACAGCTGCTGCAGCATCAGCACGATGTTTCCATCGGATATGCATTTGAAGACTGGATGAAGAACGGAAAGAACGTTGACAGAAAGGACAAGGACGACCTGTAGCTCCAGCACAATGGAAACGTCGATGATTAGATAAACATGAGGCCTAAAGAAAAAAAATTTGAGAACATAGAATATGAGATAAGATTTTTTTTACAAAAAAACGATGAAAAGTATACACACATGTAAACTTATTTTTCAAATAGAATAATGAGAAATATGATGTTCATTCCAAAACTACTGTAGTCTATGCAGGGGTACTAATTCACTCAATGACGACAGTAAAATACATAAGAGAATACTGACTGTTTCTTACTGTATTCTAATGGTATGAAAATGTGAAAGACAATTATATTGTTTTATGACATTCACACTGAAATTAGCAGTGTTCAGTTGTCAAATACTCTATGGGAGAAGAAGAACTTAGTAAAACGTGCTGGAGGTGGGTAGGATACAAATAGAGGGAATCAACTAACAGCACCGCATCACAAGACACGGAATCATTGGGAGTCCTCAAGGACACAGGAAAAGTGGAAGACCGTATTACACAGAGGATTGGAAGCAGACATCAAAAGAATGAATAGCGATTGGATAGAAGTGGAAAGTAAGGCCCAGCACAGAGCGGGTTGGGGGTATACGCTTCATCAGGGGCAACAGGCGTAAGTAAGTAGTCAAATAGTCGGTTGTAAGCCGAGGTTTTGAGCTACAATTCTAATGTAATGAATAGTGATTCTTTATTTGGATGCCCTAACTGTTAGTGGGACATAGATGGAAATATAGCATGACTGCGTCAGCTGCGCGCTGGTTGGCTGACTTACTATCCAATCAGCGCCTGATCGATTCTTGGAGAACAGGGTAGAAAATTCTCGTATTGTTAGCTGCATGCTGATTGGCTAAATCTAATCCAGTCGATCACGTGAATTTCTATCCAGAAGCTTCCCATGTAAATGCTATCAAGAAACTAAAATTGTACCTATTTTTGCCTTTGCCTTCGGCCTCGTATTTCCATTAACCTTGCTATTTGGAATATAATCTTTTCCTGTTCAACCGCGTTTTCGATTTCTTTGGAACTTGTCCAGTGTGTATTGTGTGGTCAGAGAATACTAAGCAATAGGAATTAGCTGGAAATTATTCAAGCAAGCGTTACAATAGTGGCAGCGGGGATGGTATATGAACCCACGCGGAGAAACCCCAATGAATTAGCGTTACAATACTAACCGAAATAGATGAACTTACAGTATATACAAATGACTTGATCTAACGGTTAAAAACTAAGTGTGTATCAACGACTAAGCCATTATTTTTTCTCTAAATCGTCTCTGATGATATCCACCGACCTTCAAAATAATGCCTATATGTATTTTTGATCTTACTATACAAAGGCGCTGATATTTGAAGGTCCCGACCGAAGCTGCTACCTTGACGTGGTGGTCGGGCTTGCCTATCGTGATCACCCAACCGAGCTATATTGGCTGGAACTTATGTTCCTGAAGGTTCTACCATGTTAGGCAGGTCGATTGGAGAACGATGAGACTAACAGCAGCTACCCAAGGTCTGAGGGCGAAGTCGTACTGCTGATTGCAGAGAGGTCTGACAGTAGTAAGGCGTTTCCCTCGGATAACCAGCATCTGCAGCGATGCTGCCTTCTCACAAGGAAGGAAGGGTTAGAAAAGGTTGACCCTAAAAATGTCACACCACGGATTTCCGTCTCCTTGGGTAAGGGTGCCCACTAAGAGCCTTTAAGAACGGAGCTAATCCTCTAAATACCTTTCATAAAAAGGCCGTGCATGACCGGCCTCAAGCAGTTGTCCGCTGGGCTTTGCGGGCACGCACCCAGGTCTCCAAGACCAACACTAATCTACCTTCCTTTTCAGGTGTTTCGAAAAACAACCTTCCACGGTGTGGGCAGCCGGGAAGTGACAACCGCCCTCATACCCGTAACAGGACTGGAGACCAAACTGGTCAAAATCTAATCCTTCCTACACCCCCTAGTACCTCTCTTATCTCCACGCCTAACTCTACACACATTCCTTCATCTCACTGCACCGCTAATGAAAACGATGCGAGTTCGCGAATCACCAGTAAATATATTATTACAATTATTCTTACTTATTCAAACATATAAACACTGCTACAAGCACCATACAAACTAGTAAATGTATATGGGTTGGCTGAGATAATGTCTGGATGACCGAACCGAATTAGGTGGAGGACTGAAAACAGGGGGAGGTCACTCCATTTGATCTACAGACACAATGCAGACGGCCGTTGTGCAACATAAAGAGATACATTCACATGGAAGCCGGTGACCTACAACAAGTTCAAACAACATTTTTTCCCTTAGAAACCATACGCATCATTGGTTTGGAACCAGGGTTTCGCAACTCCCGTTGATGGATCCTCCGTGTCTACCGACTCGCTTTTCACCCTCTCGAATTTGTAAAAAACACCCTGGTCATAACATGGCATTGAGTAGTTCTCTGTCAGCGGCTTTATGATCGTAAACATATGGAGACGAATAGCGAGTTCTCAGCCCCCCCCCAACTCATTCTCGACCGTATCATGGCATTTGAGGGAGCTAAGACGGTCTCTAACTGAGATTAGTTTATGAAAACTACACTGTTAACAATATGAAAAGACAATGGATGTAAATTACATAAAGATGAAATTGTTAGGATATTCATCAAATATCGTAAAGAAATTATTTTGTAAGTCTAATTCAAATGGTCAATCCCTATTGGTCAATATTTAAGGTCGTCCTAAACTATCAAGTTCACATACTTTTAAATGTTCTTTCCTACTGGTTAGTATTCACAGTCGACCTAACTGTATACAAATGGATTGTTTGTAAAGTTTTATGATCCTTCTTCTTGGTCTTCTGTACAAAACCTCATATTTTCTGGTTACTTGTAGAATACACTTTCTACGTCATATCAAGACTGTTGATACCGTTAGTGGGGGGGGGGGGCTTGGGACACTCGGATTTGCTGGGGATGTTGGATCCCCAGAACTCGCTTGATAAATACCTTTATTTCGGATTGATTTCATGGACCGATCATGTGACCTTGAGATCACATTTCTCACCAGGAAAATCCTTGGCTGTGATTGGTTACTGTATCATTTTAGTGTGCTATTTTTGTGACTGTCCGAATGACGTCTCTATAGAGTATTCATTGTGTGCTGGCTGGGTGTTTGTAGTTTACACTTTCTATACTATATCAAGACTTCTTGTTGGTACAATTTAGTCAAGGGATCAGAGTAGCCTACATGGACGCTGGTTCATCATTTTGTTCTCGTTATTCAACTAAGGTGAACCCGTAATAGTTTAGGCATACCTACAGAAGAGCGTAACAATTAGAATAGACTATCGTGTCGATGGATCACTTAGCTCTCGAATAGCTATTCAAGCATATCAATTGACGAGTATAACAGTAACCGTTTGATTTATCGTTAGGTCAAGATGCAGCTATAAGGCTAGTTTTATTAATGCCTTAAAAATTGAGTTCCGTTTGAAGTCGAATATACAAACGTACACCATACATGAACATATGAATTACTATATGATTACATAACTTTGCCATATAAAAAACCAAAGAATTTTCATCAATCAATCAATCAATCAGTAAATAAATTACTTGACGAAAAGATTTTCCACAAACTGTACAATGAAATCTTGGTTGACTTGAATGTGTATAACGATGACGTTGTAAATTTCCTCGATCGGAAAAAGCTCGTCCACAATCAGCACATGGGAAAGGACGTTCACCAGTATGACGTCGAGTATGCGCTATAAGACGACATCGCATACCGAATTCACGACCGCATACACCACATCTACAAAGAGAAAATATCAAATAAATAATTCAAAGGTAATCCGATACGATTCTTTTGAAATATCAAGTTGAAAATTAGTGAACAGTAACAATATATATACATACATACAAGTGAATTACACATTGTACACTTTATTGGGGTACACACACACACATGTATTTGAGATTCACTTACATAACACACACATACACCTTAATATTTTAATAAATTCTTACATTTATCGTTTTGTTTCGTTTAAATATATGTACATATTGATACAAAGGAACATTTATACGCCACATAAATTACTGAATTTGTGTATGTGTAAGTGTGAGTTGAGTGATATATTGCTCGAATATTCAAACAGAAACAAGTGGTTTAATCATTATAGGCGGTCACTCTCCTCGAGCATTTGACTTAGAGGTCTAGTACACAAGGCATTGGAGCAACGTAAGAAGATACAGTCATATGATAGTTCGTAACCTACAACAGATTCATACACCATATGTTCCCTCCTCACGACCCAAGAGTGTATGTGCACCATTGGTATAGAATTAGCGATTGTCAACTCCTTTATGTGGATTCTCCGTATCCACCAACCGGATTTAAGCCTCAGCCGGATATTGGCTTTTCATCCTCTGTCGCCACGAGAAGACATTGTATAGGAATTCTCTGATAGTGGCTATCTATCTACATGTGGCCATTTCGAATAAGAGAGCAAACTACCCCTTATTCTCAGTAGTACCAGGGCACTAGATTTTCACACATGCTGGAGAGAGCGATAAAAAAGAATCTCATCACAATGTGTATGAAGAAACAAACTACACCCCTCCATTCCTAAAAAAAGCGAGTGTGAACATGTAATATTCAACGTTCAATGAATGATTCACACATATTGATACATGAACAAGTTGATAAATTTTAAACAAAATAAAATAATTGATGTGAATAGATACATATAGTACAATGGACTGAATAATAATGATGTGCAGTATAGCTGAGTTTTTGAGTCAGTATTTATTTATATAACATAGAGTAAGATACAAGTTACCATAATCTATATATATATATATATATATATATATATATATATATATATATATTCCATATTGAGAGGAAGAGGTAAATTCGATTGGATCATTGTGATCTGTTCTGAGCCATATATCACCTAGTGATTCTAACTACTGGCTACATGGTCACCACGCAAAGCTCAATTAAATAGTCCACATCTATCGAGATAAGTCAGAGTAATAGTCAATCGTTTGGTTTGACTGACCCTAGCTTTAATCTAATAACATACTCCTACACCAATAACTGTTCTTCGTCGAAGTACCTGGTAGTTACTGATAATATCATCAGTAACATCACAAACTGATTTGCAGCTTTTCTCAAATAACTTATATTTCATCTCAATATTGTTTTCTCCCCTGTCATTTTAACAAATCATGTAGCAAAGGCGCCTATAATCAAAAACTGAAGTCTACGAGTGTTTTCTACTTTCAAATATCACGCTTCCTAGTTACAAAGTAATGCAAAGTTAATGTTATGAAGTTAACTCGTTCTTTGATAGACAAACGGACAACTCGCCTACACCACAGGTAACATAAGCCAGTTGAGGGTTCCGAATTTGTGCCGATCCATCATCAATCATCAAAGTTGATTAGATATCCAGAAGTTAAGTGACCAGCATGCTCAACTACTTCATTCCTTATGATTGGTGTAGGCATTTATGTAGACCAGTAACTGAAGACACGTTTTGCGTTTTATATGGACAGAAATGCACCTTAACATACTAGCTTTATTGCTTAAGATTATACGACTACATTCTAACACTCAGTTGCAACTTAGAACTTGGTACGAGCGTACATCAGTTCAAGCTGACATAACAAATTAGCAAACAGAGATGGAATTGTCAGGGCAAATCCTAAAGTAATGGATGTTGCAGGACTATTAGTAATAATGAAAAAGTCAGGAATAGGAGATAGAATTCGAGAAAATATAAATCCGTGAAAAAATAACAATTACGACGAATTTATCTCAGAGTTCGGGTGTATGTATGTATGCACCGGCGCCATTCCATTACATTGAAAGTCTCTAGCCACTGGTTACAATAGTCTTAGCGACCCCAATCATACAGCCTACACTTATTGACATAACTTAGTCCAACAGTCAGTCACTTCGTCGACACTTTATGGTTTGGCCGTGCCTACCTTTCTTCCAACTTACTCCCAACCGTGGCTGCTGCCTTGACACCATGTGGTCAGGCTTACCTATGGTTATGAACCAACCGAGCTATATTGGTTGGAACATCAGTCAGTCAGTCAGTTGCAACGTAGAACTTCGTACGTATGTACATAAGTTCATGTTGCCATACCACATTAGCACAGAGACGCCAATGTCAAATCAAATATGTTTCTACAGGTTCTATCATGTCAGGCAGGTCGATTGAAGAACAGTGAGACTAAAAGCAGTTACTCAAGGTCTGAAGGCAGTTAGGTGTTACCCTCGGACAACCAGCAGCTGCAGCGATGCTGCCTTCTCACAAGAAAGGAAGGGGTTAGGAAAGGTTGACCCTAAAAACGTCACACCTCACATTGCCTCACGAATTTCCATCCCCGGAGGTAAGGCCATTTGAAGAGCTGAGCTAACACTTTACAAACTTCGTATAAGAATGCCGTGCGTGACTGGCCTCAAGCTGATGTTTTGTCGGCTCTGTGGTCAAGCTCCTAGGTCGTTAAGACAAACACTAATCCAACTTCTTTTTCACGTTTCTAAAGAAACACCTTCGGTGTCGGCAGCTGGGAAGTGACATCCGCCCTCATAATCGTAACAGCACATGAGATCGAATCGGATACAATCAAATCTTTCCTACACCACCTAACATCTCTTTTATCTCCCCTCCTCGTTGTCTCTTTCTATGCTCACATTGACTGCGGCCCAAATGAGGTAAAATATAGGTTTTACGTGAAGCTTTCGGACTTCCTCTAAAAAGTTAGGCGCTCTGATATAGTAATAATGTTTTAAATCATCAATCAATCATTGTTAGACCACCATTAGAAACCTGGAAGCACTGGACGGCCGTTTCGTCCTGGTGTAGGACTCATCAGCAGTGCGCATCCACGACTCCTGCACCTGGCAGGATTCGAACCCGGGACCTTCGGTAATAATAACGGCTGGTGACTTCAATGCTCAAGTAGACGAATTGGAAAGGAAGGACACCTGAGTGGATTTTGTGGTATCGTGGCTAAAAGGACAGATAATGGCGACCGTCTGCTGCAGCTATGTTCAGATAACCACCTATTTTTTATCACCTTTATACTTCTTGAAAAATATCTTTAAACCCTCATCTTTCCGATTGCTGCTCATACTTCTACTACATCTACCACTACGGGATTTGAATCGACAATTGAGACTCTGTGCTAATATTATACAGCATATGTACGTACGTATCAAGTTCTACGTAATTGCTGACTGACTGACTACTACACAGAGCAGCATAGAACCATGAGGTAATCGGTGGTTGTGTATATGTGGAATATGTCCCAATCATTTTCATTGGCGCTGATAAACTACTTCATCAATCGGTTTGCCAATCCTTATCTAGTACCCTTTTCCTAACACCAGCATCACTTACTTCGTGGTCCCAGAATATTCGAACAGTGTTTCGCAGAAACCATTGATCAATTACTAGTAGCCAACGAATATTCTCTATTGTTAGTGGCCATGATTCATACCAGCAAAGCAAGACGGAACGAGCTACTGCACTCTACTCGACCTTTGCTTAGCATACGTCTATCTCACCTACACTACAATATTTTATTAGCGTCCTCATTAAACAGTACTATATCATGTATACATCTGTACAAGAGAATCTCGTGTAGAACCAAACGACGAGAAAGCTATCTCTGAAAAAATTCCCATAGCGAGGCTAATCAAAAGGGTGACCATGAACTGCTATCTTAACAAACACTACTTGAGACCGAAAATCTGATGGCATTTCACACCCTAAACTCTGACTCGTCTAGGATGATCAGAAGACAGCCTTTTGTCCGCGTCTTCAACAAGTAGAACTATGTCATTGGCATATTCTAAGTCATCGAGCGAATCTCCTGATAAAAAGTTCAACTTCTGAAAAGTCAGATGATTCAAGTGCAGTATCTAAAAGCACGTCTAATAATAATAACAATAATAATAATAATAATAATAATAATAATAATGTTTAGACCAATATGAAAATGTCGTCAATCAGTCAGTTAGTCAGATGCAACGGATATCTCGTCTACGCCATAAGTGACGCAGGTTGGCAAAAGCCAATCGAGCCTTCTGTATCCGAGCTGAGATTTCGTCAGTCACCAGGCCATCGGCACTGATGAGACTCCCAAGATAAGTGAAGCGGTCTACTCGCTCAACTACTTCACTCCCTATCACTAGTTCAGGTGCCGATGCAACCCAGTCTTGAAGCAACATTTTGCATTTCGAGGGGGAAAACCGCATCCCGAACATGCTTGCATTGTTGCTTAGGGTAGTCAGAAGACTCTGCATTTCGTCAGCGTCTTCACCAAGTAGGACAATGTCATCGGCATATTCTAAGTCAATTAGCGAGCCACCTGGTAGAAGGTCTACTCCTGAAAATTCAGACGAGGATACGGTTATTTCTAGAAGCACGTCTATGATGAAATTAAACAAGAATGGAGAATGAAAATCTCGTATGCATTAGAACCTGAAACATGTTCACCAAATGCACATCATTTAGTGTAAACAAAATAATGACTTCGTAGTACAGATGTTCGTTCGACTTACAAACGGCTCGAACTCTGAACACTAACACATCAAGAAAATCAATGAATAATTAGAAATAAAAACTTACACAAAATGTCCTGTACCATTGTTATCTCGTTTCACTGTAGTTGAACTAGCATCCATACTACTATTATTACCTTGTGATGGTGTACCTAATTGAGTGGATTGTGATAATAATTCTTGATCTGATTGTTTTTGTGGTGTATGCACTGGTGTATTAGATTGTAATTTATCATCGGATTTTTGCATATTTTCATTAGTATTATTATTATTATTGTTATTGTTAGTAGTATTATTATTATTTGAATGATTCTGTGATGTTGAATGCACCGGTTGATGAGTTTGTTGCGAGGATAACATGGAACTTGGCAATAGGACAGTAGCACCAGCAGCAGCAGCGGACTGTTGTTGTTGTAAATGAACACCGGCATGACCTGCCAACGATTGAACATGTTGCATGTGTACAGATGTATGCGGATGGTGTTGTTGTTGTTGTTGTAGCTGGTGATGAATTTGAAGTTGTTGCTGTTGCTGTTGTTGCTGTTGACCAGCAGTCTGTTGTGTATGATGATGAGGATAGAAATGAGCTGTTGTAAATAAAGGTGCCAAGGAAGCGGAATTTGTCGACACTGATACTGCATTTGAACCGGATCCACCAATACCGACTAAGCCAGCACCAGAAGCAAACAAATGATTAGCATGATTTATTTGATTTGAACCAGTGGCATTATTTAAAGTCATCATTCCACTAGGTGTAGCTGAGACAAGTCCACCACTTAATAATTGTCCTGCAGCGGCAGCATTACATGATGCTTGATTAATAATTGTTGCTTGAGTGCCACCACTTGCACCAGGTGCAGACATATGATGCGTTGGATCAGTCGATTGAGCAGCACTAAATAATCCATTGGCAGCTGCTGCAGCCGCTGTTGGATATGGGAAATACATTAATTGACCAATATATTGTGATTGATCATAGGGAAGTACCGTGGGCAATGCAGCTGCTGCGGCAGTTTGTTGTAAAGTTTGAAAAAATTCAGCATTTGGGAAGACACTTGGATGAGTTGGATGACCACCACCAGCACCGCCACCGCCGCCACCACCACCGGCAACAACATTTTGAGCAATCGATTGAGCAGGATGCAATGATGCAGATAAATGTGGCTGAGATAATCGATGCAATTGGGAGTGTTGATTTTGATTGTGCTGTTGTTGTAATTGTTGTTGTTGTTGCTGCTGCTGTTGTTGTTGTTGTTGTAACAAATGCTGATGTTGTTGATGTTGTTGTAATTGTAATTGTTGATCAAATACATTAGTTGGTTGTAAATTATTTTGAGAATGTTGTTTTTGTGCTTGTGCATTAGATTGTGGGAATGCAGCTGTGGTTGCTTTCATTGTGATTACACTAGCTGCTCCACCACTTGACATAGTGTGTGTGTGTGTGTACTTTCAAATTAGTTCCAATTCAATGCCTTGATAAAGAGATAGATAAGAAAAACAAAACAATCAAATCTGAAAGTTTACAGCTTATTTCGACAGTAACAGAGCAGAGCTTTTAATGATTACAAAACAATTATTTACTGCAGTTGTTATATCTACAAGAATCTTACGAATCGTATGAACATATGACGATATGAATTGACTAATGTAACATGGTTCTAAATAATACATGACTGAGGCTGCCAATTCATAAACTTTTGTCAAAACTATTCACTCAGTCAGTTACAACTTAGAGTGCAAGTACATGAGAACATAAGTTGCAGTTGCCATACCGCATCAGCACAGAGACGCAACTGTCAGTTCAAATCTCTTAGTGGTAGCGATAGTAGAAGAATTAGCAGTAATGGAGAAGATTAGGGTTCAAAGATATTATGCAGGAAGTATAATTCAGAGAAACAGTTAAAGTGATGATGAATTCAGAAGGTTAAAATTTGAGAGAACACAAAGAGTGGATGCGCCTGTGACATTGCAAACGATTTTGAGCCATGTCGTTCAAGGTCTCTAACCATCAGTTACTTTCGTCTTCCGGACCCCAACCAGGTAGCCTACATCTACCGATATGGCTCAATCCACTTGTTAATGACTTCATGGATTTGTGCCATGTTTTGGTCTGGTCGCCCCTAGCTTTCCTACATCACAAAACATAGCTCAACGAGGTAGTCGGTGGTTAGGCATACGCAACACATGTCCCAACCACCTCAACTGATCAAGTTTCAATACTTCATCCTTACCTAGGACCCGTTTCCTAACAACAGTATTGCTTACTCGGATGTCCCATGATACACGAGCAATGCTTCAGAGACACCTATGATCAAAAACCAGTCACCTATAAATATCCCCTACTGTGGCCATGTTTCACAGCCATGAAGTAGGACGGAGTGAACTACTGCACAGTACACTCGTCTTTTAGTCAGCAAACGGATATATCGCTTGCACCATAAGTGACGCATGTTGGCAAAAGCCAGTTGAGCCTTCCGCATCCCTGCTGAGATTTCATCGGTCACCAGGCCATCAGCACTGATGAGACTCCCCAGATAAGTGAAGTGATCAACACGTACGACTACTTCGCTCCCTATCACTAGTTCAGGTGTCGATGCAAGCAAATCCTGAAGCAACATTTTGCATTTCAATGGGGAGTATTGCATCCTGAACATGCTTGCATTGTCGCTTAAGGGAGTGAGGAGACTAAAAGAACAATGGATATCGGATATCTCTTAATATAGTCAAGTTAATTAAGTAGTACCACAGTTTACCAGTGAAATGTTCTACAGATAAAGATGACATCACTAAGAAAAATAAAGATTTCACCGAAAATATCTAACAAAAATAGAATTGTCACAATGACAGATCACTATTTTTTCTCTCAGAAAAGCTCAAGCAGATTAACTGAATGAAGAATTTTGTGTGAGATGGTGAGATAATTAATGTTATCAAACTACAAAACACATCATCATGACTAATAAATTGTGGTAATTGAGGCATCAATTGGTTTAAACTGATAGAAACTTTTATTACTGTTCATCAAATTTACTCAGTAAAATATTGATAAATTACGAAAACTCTATGTTGATTTGACGAGGCGAAAAACAAAACTGTCATACAATGAAATCATTAAAACCAGTATGTAACTTAAATGACCCAGACGCGTGAAAAACGTTTACGTTGAAACATGTACGCTAAGCGCATTATCACATACAATGAGAATGTCAATAAAGATGGGACATTTAAGTCAGTTATAGAAAAATTAATGACAACTGATAACATTTACATGATTTTTATTAAAGTAGCAAGTGAATGCATTTAATAGGATAAGGGTTTAATTTGAAGTCACTTATATGCATTAAGTCAGTCAACCTAAATTATAACAAGGCAAATACGTATCTACCACCTAAGTTATCACAATTTATAGCAACATAGAGCCCTCTGAAGAAAACAAGATAAACATAGGGAGAAAAATAGTAACATTATTAATTGGCAATCGTTTGTGTACTAAGCTTTGAGAGTTACATCATGGGTGTGTGTGTGTGTGAAGCCTAATAGTATTCGGTTATTCGAAATGAAATAGATAAAGATTCTAACCTCCAGTCAGTCAGCTACAACACAGAACTTCGTACGTACGTACGTATGTACGTACATCAGTTCAAGTTGCCATAGCACATTAGCACACAAAATTGAAATTGCCAATTCGAATCCCATAGTAGTGGGGATAGTAGAAGTATTAGCAGTAATCAAAAAGACTAGAGATCGAAGAAATCGTTCGAAAAGTATACCCTGGTGAAATAAATTTAAAAAGGGAAAAAGCTGTCATGAGGAACTCGGAAGATTAAAATTTGGGAGAAGACAAAGAATGGATGTGTAACTGCGCCAATGAAAACGATTTTCAGCCATGTCATTCGAGATCTCAGTTACTATCGTCTCGCGGACCCCAACCTGGTAGTCTACATCTACCAACATGACTCAGTCCAATTGTCAGTGGCTTCATGGATTTGTGCCAATTTTTCGTCTGACCATCCCTAGCTTTCTTTCAGCCTACCTCTACACCAGGCATCATTGCTTGCCAAGGCAGTCGGTGTTTGGGCATACGTAACAAACGTCCCAACCACCTCAACTGAAGAACATTAACTACTTCACCAATTGTTAGTGGGACATAGATGGATTTAAAGCATGATTACGTCACTACGCGCTGATTGGCTAATTTCCCATCCAATCAGCGCCTGATCGAAGCTTGGAGAACAGGATAGAAAATTCTCGTATTATTAGCTGCATGCTGATTGGTCAAATCCAGCCCAGTCGATCACGTGAATTTTCTTCCAGAAGTTTTCTCATGTAAAGGCAATAAATAGACTAGCATTGTATTTATCTTTGCCTTCTTAGCCTTCAAGCCTTCTTGCCTTCTAGCCTTCTAGCCTTCTTCGCTTTCAAGCCTTTTTGCCTTGGCTTTCGCCATCACCTCCAGCTTCTTTTCTTGCTATTTTGGAATACAATCCTTCCTGTTCAACCGTGTTCTGATTTGTGTTACTTGTCCAGTGTTTTGTGTCAAGAATACTAGGCAATAAGATTTAGCCGGGAATATCGTCAGCAACCGTTACAACAGTGGCGACGGAGAAAGAAAAATACTTTCAAGATGCCTATTTCGTAAATTATGGGAATTATTCTTTATTGTAATTTTCTAACCGATTTATTGTCTACGATTTGTGTTGTTATGATAGGCGGCGTCCAACATTTGAACATGATATGTATACGTTAACCTACGCCAAACCAGCTAGTTGGGTGAGAAGGCAATTATAGACAACAGCATTGCTTACTCGATGATACCAGGATACATGAACAATGCTTCGAAGACTCATATGATAGAAAACTAATAGCCTACAAATATCCTCTACTCTTAATGACCATATTTCACACCCGTGTTGTAAGACAGAGGGAACTGCTGCGCAGTACACTCCTTTGGTTAGCCTACGGTTGGATATATTGCCTACGCCATAAGTGACACCGGTTAGCGAAAGCCAATCGAGCCTTCTGTACCCGTGCTTAGAGTTCGTCACACACCAGGCCATTAACACTGATGAGACTCCCAAGATAAATAAAGCGGTCAACACGCTTGACTGTTTCACTCCCTATCAATAGTTCAGGTGCCGATGAAGGCCGATCGTGAAGCGGCATTTTGCATTTTAAAGGGGAGAACCGTATACCGAATATGTTCGTACTGTTGCTTAGGGTGATCAGAATAGGCAGCGTCTAAGATCTGAATGTGATATGCATTAACCTCCGCCAAACCGGCTACTTGAGCGAGGTATTTGATACATATAAATACCTCCTTTAGAAAATGAATTCATTACTTGATCACTAAATGATATACTTACATCCTTTAGAACATTTCTTATAGTTATCATCAAATGGTCACTGGTGATTGACGCTTAATGTTATACAAAACTAGTCGATCAAAATCAACCACTCAGTGAAAAGGTACAAAATTACTATGTACATAACATACATGCGCATCTCAGAATACAAAAAAAAACAACCGTTTGTATAAGAAACAATGAAATGTGACGCCTTCATATATTTTCAATCAATATTTATTTAAAACAGATAAGTTACAAATCAATTGTCTTAAGAATAATTTGAAAAAACTGTTCAAGAAAATATAAAATTAGAAACTTTGTGGTAGAGTTTCGTTCTGTAAGCTGAGGATGTTTTGGTTGTGAAACTTTCATCGTTCTTCTGAACAACAGCATTATCAGCACGAAGTTCAGATGGCAGAAGTGAAGTATTTGAAATACTCCATATATAGCGCATAGCTAGTTCTGTCTAACCTCGATCTTGATTGGTTACTGTTGACCTTAAACCTGGTGTTGTTTGAACACCTTCACATAACTAAAACATCCCCATCTACGTGTAGGATTTTTTTGTGACCAATTTGGTCTCGTGTGCTGTTACTGGTATGAGGGCAGTTGTCACTTCCCGGCTGCCTACACCGTGGAAGGGTGCTTCTTGATGAACCTGAAAATGAAAGCGGACTAGCGTTGGTCTTGACGACCTGGGAGCGTGACCGCAGAGCCCAAAGGACAACTGCTTGAGGCTGGTCACGTGCGACCTTCTTATGATAGGTTTTTAAAGTAATAGCTCCATTTTTGTTTAAAAGCCCTTATTGGGCAGCCCTTACTGACGGAGACGGAAATGTGTGAGCTAAGGTGAGGTGTGACATTTTTAGGGTCGACATTTTCTAACCCTTCCTTCCATGTGAGGAGGCAGAATCGCTGTACATGCTGGTTGTCCGATGGAAATACCTTAATGCTGTCACACCTCTCTGCAGTCAGCAGTACGACTTCGACCTCAGACCTTGAGTAGCTGCTTTTAGTCTCATCGTTCTCCAATAAACCTGCCGGGCATGGTAGAACCTACAGGAACATAAGTTCCAGCCACTATAGCTCGGTTGGGTCATCACGATAGGCAAGCCCGACCACCTGGTGTCAAGGTAGCAGCTACGGTCGGGCCCCGTCTAGGACAACGAAACTCCACCACAATCATTCATCTGAGCTACAAATTTTCTTTACCTTCTCAAAAGAACAGAAACTTCTCTTAAAAGTTTTTCATTGCAAAACAAAATGTTGTGATTTATGAAACAATTTTACAGATTATTATAGTTTTAAGATATTTTCTATTATATAATCGGATTATTGTATTGATTTATTATTCTTCATCTTCTCTGTTCGACCATGTCACGTATCTTATGATTAACAATTAATTGGGTTCACAATCTCTGCTGTTGTTCATTTAGAATGAATTACGTTTTGAAACTTCGCAATAAAAAGCATATTTTTAATCATTGAGTTTCAATGAAATTATGAACTGACCAATGTTAGACCAAATGTGCTCAATAGTGACTATAGGTTTGTAATGAAATTCACGAAGTTCTAATAAGTATCCATGGTCAGTGGAGTTCAACTTTGTCAAGTGTAGGCAGTTATCTATTGAAGACAATGTGTGAGGTTAAACGATGACATGAATTGATGAAATGTAAGACATTAACACCGTAGGATGTAGGCTAATCGTTCGCGCACAAGACCGAAGGTAGTTCGGTTCGATTTGCGCTAGCGTCGGTCGTGGAGGCGCATTGTTAAGGAGCCTCACACTAGAACGAAACAACTTTCCAGTGCTTCCAGGTTTCTAATGGTGGTCTAACAATGGTCGATTACAAATTTCAATATAACGAACGCTTGCCTGTAGTGCTCACGTATCTGGAGTAAAAACTGTTCACAGAGAAAAACGGAATTATATCACCAGGTCAATAACAATTATGACTATTTCGTTATTATTCCAGTTTAGGAGTTTGAATTCGGGCATTTATCTGGTTAGGTTCGATAATCAGTTGACAGATGAACTAGTTTAGTTGAACTCCTGAAAAACAAATCAGGATTTCTATTGGTACGCCTTTTCTCAAGTTATGCACTGAGTATTTTAAGAGATTTGAGCATTAAAAATTACTCTTCTAGTGTGTACTACTGTTGGGGATGTTAGATCCCCAGAACGCGATTGATAAATATCCTTATTTGGATTTATTTCATGGATCGACCAGTTGACCTTGAGATCACATTTCCCACCAGAAAAATCCCTGGCTGTGATTGGTTACTGTGTCATTTTAATGTGCTATTTTTATGACTGTCCCAAGAATGTCTCTATAAAGTATAACTAAACGCAATTTGAGTGTTTGGATTCATTGTGTGCCGGCTGAGTGTTTGTAGAATACAATTTCTACACTATATCAATTTGGTCAAGGGATCACAGTAGCCTATCTGGACGCTGGTTCATTGTTTGTTCTCGTTATTCGTCTAAGGTGAACTTGTAACAGTTTAAGCATACTTAGAGACAAGCTTAACAACTACACACATAAGAAATCCTCTCACATTCACACCAGGAAGATATTACAATACAACAATCTCCCACAATACTCAAAAACATGAATCACCCTAACTTCACAGCATTGGTTGAATAAAAAGAAAATCAAATATAAACAACCGCGTTTATATTATGTATTTAGTTAATCGATATAAACAAAGCATTGAACATGTGTTTGTTTGTGTGTTGTGTGTGTGCAAACAATGCACAATAGGATTTATGGTTCTTATTCAGAAAGAAACTTTTAAATCAATCAGTAAAAAAAAAACAAACAAAGATCACATAACTTTATATTCGATCTCAATGAATTTACTTTGAACAATTTCGTCAAAATAAGATACAATCCAAATCAAGCGCTTTCCTGTCAAGAATCAATCAATCAATCATATCGTTTGTTTGACATTAGACATAAACTAGTTCGCAGGTGAGAATGCAATTGATGGACAATTGTTTGAGGAACAACCATAGCTAACCTTGAGTACAAACACATCACATACTTATTTATAACTATGGGAGGGAAGGATGTTGATGATGGATCGACTCCATGTCGAGAAATTCAAGACTTACACACACACGTACATCATCTTTAAATGTGATTGGTCAAGTCAATAAGTTATAATCTCATTTTTTCCCGAATGGAAAACAAGCACACACAGAGAGGACATAAGAAAGAAATAGAGATGCCCAAAGTATGGGAAACCAACCAACCAACTAACCCCGCCAAAAAAGGATAAAATCTCTCATGTATGATGTAGAGAGGATGGATAAAATGGAAAACACTTTGCAGAAAGAAATTGTGAAAATTAAAGACAATTCAAAAACGAATCAAACCAAACGAACGATCACGCACGCACATACACACACACATACAACATTGGTGAACAAGTGCAAATAAGTTTGATAGTCATTAGGGTAGGGTAGGGTACGTGTCTATGTGTGCATGGGATTTCATTTTTTCAGTCTTCACACACAAACATATAGAGAGAGTGGACAGAAATAGAAGAAAGAGTAGGGAGATGAAGAGAGCGCAATGAAGAAAGTGATAGATGAATCAACATGGTGTTGATTACTGTACACCAAACAATATGTATGTATTGCATCATGGCGTTAGCGTTGTCGGTTGATGTTGTCGCCGTCATTGTATGTGTAAAATATTGAATTAAATACAATGTTCACTGATTGACTGGTTGAATTAGATTCAAATAAAAACAAGTTGAATAAACATGAAAGAATAGTGTATTCATCGTTGACCGCATGGACGTGTTGTGTACGAGCGCTTCTGTGTGTACGTAGATGTGTGAGTGTGTGTGCGTGTGCAAAATGTACAATATTGCATGTGCGGGAGAAAAAAATAGTAATAATAAACAGACGAAAAAACTCCTTGTTTTTTACAACCATTACATCGTATGTATGTATGTATGTGTATGTATGCATTTTTGTTACATATGGGATGAATATTATTCCTTCAACGTAATTCCAAAGTAAGTGTTTCTTGTGGAACAAGACCTAATTTAGCCAATGTCATATTTTCATCTAGTAAAGTTAACTGGAATGAGAAATAGAAAGAAAGAGAGAGATAAAAACCGGATTATCATTGATATATTTGGATAAATATTGTTACATTGAAAATACTTTACAATGGATTGAATATTTGGTTTAGTGAGTGATCATTGCCAAAGGGACGAGTTTACTGAGCAGCAGTTTGTTTCATCGTTAGACAGTGAAACAAAGCCATTAAGGATATTCATGGACTACAAGTATTTGATCATAGGTGTCTCCGAAGCAATGATGTTCTTAGGAAAAGAGTACTAGGTAAGGGATGGCAAGTATTGAAACTTCATCAGTTGAGGTGGTTGCGATATGTGTTACGGATGACCAACCACCGAGTGCATCGACGATCGATGTTATTTGATGTAAAGAGAGGCTGGAAGAATCGTAGGCGCGGCCAAACTAAAACAAGACATAAATTCATAAAGTCACTGACAGGCGGACTAAGTCATGTTGGTTGAGGTTGACTACCTGGTTGGGGTCCGCGAGGAAACAGTAAGCCGTGGTTAGAGACTTTCAATTACAAGGATCAAAATCGTTTGCAATAGCGCACGTGTATTCATTGTTTGTCTCCCTTCGAATTCTAATCTTCTAAATTCATCATTTTCTTTCTCGCCTGAAATTTACTTCACTGACTTATACTTCTCGAATCATATCTTCGCTCCCTAACCTTCTTCATTGCTGCTAATGATTCTAATATCTCTACTACTATAAGGATTGAATCGACAATTGCATGTCTGTGTGCTAATGCGGTATGGCAACCGGAACTTATGTATCCTGGTACGAAATTCTGTTGCGGACTGACTTACTGATACTGTGTATGTGTGTGTGTGTGCTGATCAAAGAAGAAGCTGATGCATATGACATTAATCTCGATTGCTATACAGGACGTCAGTCGCAGTTTAGATAGCTGTGGTAACGCATTTGACTGTGAAGCTGAGTGATACAGGATTGAATTCGTCACGATTACAGATACACCTTGTTGACTAGTGGCCAAATAACACCAAACCTGTAGACTCCCTGAAATTACTACATTACACAAGAGTCTTTTTATTTATTTACATATATGCATTAATAAGTTTAAATTACGAGCTGATTTTAAAGATACAGACCATCAGTGAAGACTTGGGAGCACTGAACAGTTGTTGCATCCTAAATATGAAACTTCTGAACAATGGATAACCAACAAACCCTGTTAAATGGAATTGAACCCAGCCTATTTGGTCTTTGAACACAAAAACACAACCTCTAGACTACTTACTGACTTGGATAAATTCGTTATTCATCTTTCTAACAATTTAGCCTGAAGCCACTCTGGGATTATTGCAGATCCCAAGTTCAGATAGAGAGGGAGGCCTTGGCATGGGGTTTAGTAACCTCATCCCGTAACAAACCAACTGTCTACAGAATTGCTAACCAGAAAAAAAAGACGCTAACGGTTATCTATGCAAGATACTGATGATCCATTGGTCCGACATTTGAGGGATGAAACAAATCAGATTCAAACAGATAGCGATATTAGAAAAAAGCGCTGCAGGTGGATAGAGTACACATTGAGGAAAGTACCCAACTGCATAACACAGAGCAAGCTCTAACTTGGAATCATCAGAGACAAAGGAGAAGACTGGAAATACTTATCTTATTAACAATAACAACAGCATAATCCACTGACGCGGAAATCCTCCTAGTCACTGCCTTCTCGTGACACAAGTATTGTTTATGGGATTGAGAGGACAAAAAGTGAATTTCCAACCAAGGTTTAGCGGTTATGAGGGAACCACTTAAATGTGTTGGAAAACCCTGATTCCAAACCAATGGTACACATAGATTCTATGGTCATCGGGGAAACAGAAAACATACGAATCTATTGTCGGTCATCTGTTACTGATGGAACAAATATCTCCTGACGTTGCTTCACTCACACTGCATTGTGTGGATTAAACTTTTGGTGTCAACCGGCTAAGAAAACTACATACTTTGGCTTCGGTGGTGTCTAAGCAGTATCATTTGTCAACACACACATGCATAAATTTACAATTCAATACAATTAAAAACAAACAAACAAACAAACATAATTCATTCATATAAAATAAAACTTACATCACGAATTGGATATGTAGTAATGAGTTTATAATCTGATTTAGGAAAACCTTTTGATTCCATAAATATAAATACATATTTTAAAGCATTAGAACCAGCGAAACGTCGTATCATGGTACTCTGTGTACGATTTGAATCGGCAGAACATTGAGAAGAAGGTGGTAGACGAAAACGTAATGTTGCAATACCATCCACACCATCGGGTGTGGATAGAAATGCTTCAGCAGCTGGTGTTTTTGGCACAGGCGGTTCCGGTGGTAAACTAGCAGCCATAGATAAACGATGTTGTTCAGCTAACAATTCATCATTGATACGTTTTTCTTCTTCAAGTTGTTTACGTTTCTCTTCTTCTGCTTTAGCTTTAGCACGTTCCCATTCCTTTGGTTTGTTGAACAACAGACCACGGAGGTGATGGGGAGTGATGATGATGGAAGGCGGAACAAAATAAAATACAATAATGTGAACAATATTTCATGAATAAACGGGTCCACGGGACGACAGTAACCGATGGTTAGAGAACTTGAATGACATGGCTCAGAATCGTTTGCAATGGCGCAGGTGCATCCACTCTTTTTGTTCTCTCTAATTCTAACCTTTCAGAATTCCTCATCATCTCTGTTTTTCTCTTTACGAATTTATCTCACTGAATTATACGTCTCGAATCATATCTTCGGTCCCTAATCTTCTCCATTACTGCTGGTACTGCTAATAATTGAAAAGACTAAGCCCATGAATCCATATAGACCTAAACAGTGCTCGAACGATGATTACATCACATCTCACTGCATTTACATGTTTATGTTCTTACTAGTCACTAGCTTCGTGGGGAAATTCTTGGAGTTCTAGTGAGAAGACGTGACCAGTGGAGTTCAACCCTGTCGGGTATAGGCAGCAATTACCAGAGACAAATAGGTGGGGTGCCGCAAAATCCCTAGATCAATCAGAGTTAGACATTAACACCGTTGGATGTCGGCCCACGGGTCCAGAGGTTAAACATTAGCGCACAAGACCGAAGGTCCTGGGTTCGAATCCTGCGAGGTGCAGGAGTCGTGGATGCGCACTGCTAATGAGTCCCATACCAGGACGAAACGGCTGTCCAGAGCTTCCAGGTTTCTAATGGTGATCTAACAATGATTGATTGATGATTTCAAATGTGTAATTACATGTTTATGTTTGTGTGAACACACATACGCAGAGATGAGCAATCAGACAATGCAATCAAGGGTTATGGAATAATGTGCCATCAATTGCCTTAAAAATTTAGTCAACATCAGATGTTCCAATAAACGTGGGAAATAGAAAACCATGTTCACATCAATGGCAAAGCATATAATTGAAACAAGGCATAAGATTGACATCAAGACAGCCTTTAAAACATCATACAGAAATGTTCAAGCACGAATTATGAGTTTATGAAAGCCATGGTTATTCGTAAATTCAAACCTTTTTGATCTGTACAGGAACAATTTGGCCTAAGGGTAAGGAGACAATTTCTTATTCTTTCTAATACTAAGTTCATTCTCTTCTCACCCTCCTGCATTTTTTTACAATAATCATCTTAAGTTTATTTGAACTTTTAGTTAAAATTGACCTTTTGTGATTAATTTTCACGTAGAAAATGCCTTGACAGGTGTACTGTCCGTGTGTGTGTGTGTGTGACTAGATTGTTCGAAATGTATATAGTACGCAAATACATGACAACATTTTCTTCAGGAATTGAATTTTTAAATTGTGATGTTTTCTGTTACCGTCAACTATTCGGAGATTTGTCCTGACAATTTTATTTCGCTGTACTTATAGGGTGTAGCTAATAAAACAGACATACATACCTATTAAGTTCTACGTTGTATATGCATTCCGAAATCAGTCATTGGAGGAGTTTTTGTTAAATTTCTTAACTAGATTGGTAAATTGTTGAATCTAGTTTCCCAACAGATGTCCTCCTATGGCTGAGTGCAAGGACATGATCAAATATGGCCACTACCAGAGAAGTCTTACTCAGTGCCTTTTCGTGATAGGACTATAAGTTTACGAAATGAAGAGAACGAGAAGCAATTGTCCGACCGGCACTTAAACTGATTTGATATGTACAGAGAATCTGCATATGGGAGTTGGAAAACCTTGATTCCAAAGTGAGCATGTGCATGGGATGCAGGAAGTTGATGGAATAAATGATGTATGAGAACCCATTAATGGTCGTCACCAGCTATCATGGGACTGCACTTACACACGTTGTTTCACTGCCTTGTTGATTAGACCTGAGGATTGAAAGCGCAGGCAATAGCGTTTGAGAAAAACACCAGGTGTGGTCAAACCAACCGATTCGTAGTCTCGTAATGAGTCAGTCAGTCAGTTACAATGTAGAACTTCATATGTATGTACATAAGTTCAGGTTGCCACACCACATTAGCACAGAGACGCGAATGTCAAATCAAATCCCATAGTGATAAAGATATTAGAGTTATTAATGGTAATGAAGAAGACTAGGGTTCGAATATATTATTCAAGAAGTATATAATTCAGTGACAAAACTCTAGAAAGACAAAGATACAGGTGATGACGAATCCAGAAGATTAGGATTTGAGAGAACTCAACGAATGGATGCACTTGTGCCATTGCAAACGATCTTGAGCCATGTCGTTCAAGGTTTCTAACCATTGGTGACTTTCGTCTCGTGGACACCAACCAGGTAGCCTACATCTACCAACATGACTCACTCCACTTGTTAGTGTCTTCATGGATTTCTGCCATGTTTTGGTTTGGCAGTCTCTAGCTTTCTTCCAACCTACTCCTACACCACAAAACATAGCTCGTCGAGGCAGTCGGTGGTTAGGCATTCGTAACACATGTCTCGTAATGAGATGACATGCAAATTCAGTGATTAGTGTGACGCATAAATATTTCAATGTCTCTTTGTATTCATGTTTACGTGTTTAAAATAAAATTAAAAAAAAAAATTTTAAGCGTAAATAAATGACTCTCTTTCGAATAATTACTACTAAATGAACTTTACTTGTATTATTAGAACAACACATATAACTGAACAATATTGTTTTCAATTAGATCGTTATCAGACTTTACTCTAATATACATGAATATTTACATTCAGTAAACTACAGCTAGCGATACCATGCCGGAGAGATTAACGAAAGTAATTAGCAGAACATGCTACGCGGCAAAATTTGCGTTGACTTTCTTGAGTCGACCAGCGATGTCTTCTAATCTAATGAAGGGTAAGTTATTTGAGTTAGGAAATTTGCGACACCATTATCTCTTCCGTGGTTGGGGATATAACTTAACCAATGTTTTAAAAAAAAATCTTTGTATTTTTACTTCATTTTTGTTGTTATTATCATCATTATTTTCACATCCTGTATTTGTTCGTAATTCTCTGAATCTTTCAGTTTATATTCTTCACTATCTAATTAGGTACACGCTTCTTATTACGTAACTGTCATCATGTTTTGTAATGATTATTTCAAGTTTATTTATTCACGTATGACCTACTATTGAAAAGAAAAACTTGGGTTATCGTATTTTATTATTTTTATTACTATCACAGTACACTTGTCTTCCTACTGTCAACTTGTACTTTTATCTTTGATTTGTAGAGTTACGTAATCTCTATTTCATTTCATCGTGATTATTGACTGAAATTGCCTTAATTGGTTAAACATTTTCTTCATGAATATTCATGTATATTAGAGAGTAAAAGGCTGATAACGATCTAATCGGAATCGCTTACATGTGTTGTTTTAATTTTCGCAATGTGAATCTGTGCTTGTATTATAAATGAATGTTTGAAGATTATATATATATATATATATATATATATATATATATATATATATATATATATGGTAGGATATTCATCAAATATCCTAAGAGAATTATTCGTAAGTCTAATCTTATTGATCGTCCTCACTATCAATGTCACAGACTACCAAGTTGTTTCCTATCCAGCCTAACTGTATAAATACGCATTATCTCTAACGTTTCACAATCTGCATCCTTCGTCCGGGATCATCATCCTCTTCTTGAAGCTTGTAGAATACACCTTCTACTTCAAATCAAGTCTTCTTCTTATATTTAAGGGGGGGGGGTTTGGGACGCTCGGATTAGAGTAGCCTGTCGTGTCGCCAGATCATCGATACTCGCTCTCATTTACTAACTAAGATGAACTCGTAATAGTTCAAGCATATCAATTGATGTGTTGACATGCATTCGTAATAGTATTTCATCTGGTCTTGACTTCTTCGTTTGATACAAAAGTAGCCACAACATTAACAGTGATAACAGAAAAGATCACATTTTAGAAATTTGGTTTGACATGAAGAGAAAATGCAACCTGACTTCATTCATTGTGAATGATCTAAAAACTAAATCAATTCACGTCTATCGATTACGTACACAGTATAAACAGCTCATATGCAGATTCCATCGACATGACCGTTTAGTCAGTCAATCAGTCAGCTACAACGTAGAACTTCGTACGTACGTGCATCTGTCCAAGTGGCCATAACACATTAGCACACATAGATCGAATTGTCAAATCAAATCCCAATGTAGTAGAGGAAGTAGAAGTATTAGAGGTTGCTGCTGCTTTTAGTCTTACTGTTCTGTGACCGACCTGCCTGGTGGCATGGTGGAACCTAAATGTTGGGTCATCATGACAGACAAGCCGGACTAACACGTCAAGGTAGCAGCAACGGTTGAGCCAAACCATGACAATTATGCTTAGTATGACATAAGCTAAATGGAATATGGCTAGCTGCAGAAGCCAGGACACACATTTTAGCCTACGTTGAAATTCGTCAGTTGGATGCACTTGCATTTTAGAGCTTATGTTCATCACTGCATCGCTTAAGTGACTCGCTATTTAGACTAAGCAGTTAAGTGGATTACACGTTGGTGTTTGAAGTGAACGGTACCAGAATAAAAACTAACTAGGGCATGAAGATCCATCAAACTGATGAGTCTCGAATAGGATGAAATCCGTGTTCTACAACACTCTACTCCTAGAAACATACTGTCTACTTTTCCATATATCAATAATAATAATAGCAACTGCATAGCTTCGACCTTAGTTCAATTTTGTATATATACATTTCATATAATATAATATAAATATATAGTACTCATATAAAAACAACTGACTAACTTTTTCTTGATCACGTCGTAATGATTCTTCATAGGCAGCTTCTTGTTCTTCCAAGACACGTCGTCTAGCGAGAATTTCACGTTCAGTTACACATTCCGGTTCTAGTAATTCCAAATAAGTTGTATAAGCTTGCCATAATTCTGCAACAATAACATCCGGTTTTAAACTACCACTACTACTAGTCACTGCTGAAGAATCACCATCATCTTTCATTGATTGCGCAGATGGTGTTGTTGTCATGGTTGCTGCTGTGAAACGACCACCACCACTAGTACTACTACTACTGTTATTATGTACATTGAATAAAGATGGGAAATGATCGATAGGTGGCCAAATTTTCACAATCCCAGTACCCATAACAAGACATAACACTTCTAATTGACCGGATAATTTGACAATCATTGCTAGAACTGGATAACTATCTACCTACATATATAGATAGATACAGATGTAAAGTTTTCCAAAGAAAATAATAATAATAATAATAATATTAGATTACAAATAAATGTAATATACTACTTATGATTAGAGTTAATTCATCATTGAATAGTGAGCAATATAATGTTTTATTGATCAAATTGAAAAATATTGTTACGACATCTATAGAGGGTTAGATCGCAAGAAAGCTTAGATTTAGGTTTTATGTTATTTGGCATATATTATAAGTGGTATGTCTGGAATCTTAATGGAACTGATGTCTTCGGTGTGAGATTTGAGCTCAGGTCATTTGTAGCACGGATACGGAAGGCTCAATAGGCTTTTGCCAACCTGCGGCACTTATGGCGTAGGCGAGATATCCGTTCGGTCCCTCATACTATACGGATGCGAAACATGGCCGTTAAGAGTAGATGTTCGTAGGTTACTAGTATTCAATCATCGATGTCTCCGAAGCATTACTCGTGTATCCTGGGACAACCGTATAAGCAATGCTATCATTACGAAACGAGTTCTAGTTAGGGATGGCAAATCAATAGATGAAGTATTGAAACTTCATCAGTTGAGGTGGTTGGGACATCTGTTACGTATGCCTAACCATCGACTGCCGCGACGAATGATGTTTTGTGGTGTAGGAGTAGGTTGGAAGAAAGTTAGGGGCGGCCAAACCAAAACGTGGCACAAATCCATCAAATCACTGACAAGTGGACTGAGTCATGTTGGTAGATGTAGACTACCTGGTTGGGATCCGTGAGACGAAAGTCACCAATGGTAAGAGACCTTGAACGACATTGCCCAAAATCGTTTTCAATGGCGCAAGTGTATCCATTCATTGAGCTCTCTCAAATCCTAATCTTCTGGATTCGTTAGCAGCCCTACCTTTGTCTTTCTAACCTTATCTCACTGAATTATATTTCTTGAATAGTATCTTTGAGCCCTAATCTCTCCGGTGGCAGCTAATAATTCTACTACCTTTACTTCTATGTGATTCGAAGTGACGATTGCGTCTCCGTGGTAATATGGTATGGCAACTTGAACTGATCTACGCTCATACAAAGTTCTACGTTGTAAATGACTGACGATCTGGCCATCCACTAGTCGGACATTCACATTTTATCCTCGCAATTTCGTAAACAACACTCATAACTTAAAAGAAGATAATCGATTGAATCTCGCTAACAGTGACTATGTAATATGTGCTGTCATGCGAAAGCATTTTCCAGAGGAAGGGCAGACTCTGCCAAACATTTACCTTATCTTGTAGCAGAATAGTTTTAGAGGACTTAATTTAAAAGAAATAATTCATCTACATTAGAAACCTGGGAGTCCTGAGTTCGAATCCTGCAGGAGTTGTGGATACGCACTGACACCGATGCGTAGTCGCATACACCAGGACAAAACAGCCATCTTTCAGTGCTTCCAGGTTTTTAATTTGTTGATCGAGTCATGATTTCAAAAAAAGTCCATAACCTTTTCATGCACATTACTAATAATACTACTCATTAATTATTCATTCAACACAAAACAAAACAAAAACAAAAAAACACACAATCATTATTCACTAACAGATAAAGGTGTTATAATTCTTGATAAATTTGGCAATTTCACTTCAAGCCAACCAAGTAAACGTTCTTTAGCTCGTGTACGTGTTACATCCCATGGCCATAAACTAAATTCATGATCAGTTAGAAAACGAAATAATCCCGATGAACATAATACTTGTTGACAGAATACATGACATGCTACACTTGTATCATTGTGTAAATAAATAAATAATGGTTTACGCTGTGGAGAAAGAGAGGGTGAGAACACATCATGATAACCATAATAAGAATGACAAAAAGACACATAAAAAGCACTTGTTAACATGCAAAAAGAAGAATACTAGTCGGCGGCCTTCGCTCTATTGAGGCTAACAGGAGTAAGTAAGTGCCTGGAAATCGATCACTTAGCGATTGGGTTCATAAGTGTTGTACCCATTGAGAATACCAAACACATGGCGGACATTTTCAAACTTTAAATTTACTGATTTAAAAAGCATTATGATAATCAAGATTAAACAATGCGTCGTCAATCAATTAAACATGCTGGGATCACCTAGGATCATCACTTTGGGAGGTGTTCAAGATGAAACTGAAACTCAAGAAGGACTGGACAGCTGGGTGAACGGCAACACACAAGTTTAACGCGACCTTTCTTCGAGATATTGACAAACTTCACAAATTCAAGATAGTTCTCAGCAATAAACTCTAAACCTTTCACGATCTGTCTAATGGAGAAGCAATAACTTCAACATGTCGTCAGGTTGTAGACCATCAATCAGGTAGAACTGGGAAGCAAGGCCTAGGACAGAGTAGGTTGGGGAGTACCGGTAGGTGGCCTAAGCTCCGTTGGTGGGGGGGGCGGAACAAGTGAAATTAAGTAATGATAATAATCATTATTACTATTGTTTGTAGAAAGGATTTGATTTTGACCAATTCGGTCTCGTGTACTGTTACGGGTATGAGGGCGGTTGTTACTTCTCGGCTGCCCACACCGTGGAAGGGTGTTTCTTGAGGAACCTGAAAAGGAAGGTGGATTAGAGTTGGTCTTAGAGACCTGGTTGCGTGACCGCAGAGCCCAAGGGACAACTGCTTGAGGCCGGTCACGCACGGTCTTTTTACGAAGGGTTTTTTGAGTATTAGCTCCGCTTTTAAAAGCCTTTAGTGGTCACCCTTACCGCCGGAGACGGAAATCCGTGAAGTAAGGTGAGGTGTGACATTTTTGGGGTCGACCTTTTTTAATCCCTTCCTTTCTTGTGAGAAGGTAGCATCGCTGAAGATGCTGGTTGTCCGAGGGAAACACCTTACTGCTGTCACACCCGTCTACAGTCAGTTAGCAGTACGACTTCTCCCTCAGACCTTGGGTAGCTGATTTTAGTCTCATCGTTCTCCAATCAACCTGCCTGACATGGTAGAACCTTGAGGGACATATGTTCCAGCCAGTATAGCTCGGTTGGGTCATCACGACAGGCAAGCCTGCACACCCGGTGTCAAGGTAGCAGCTACGGTCGGGATTATTATTGTTACCATTAAAAAAACCAACAATCAATCAATATCATCAACTTACTTCGCATACTTGACTAGTACCAACTGTTAACGATAAAGCAGTATCAAGGCTACATGTAGAAAATGGCGGTGACATTGTTACACCATCACTGCAATAACGTTGTAAAAATACTATACAAAATTGTTGTGTAGCCAATTCTGGATCAGCAATGCTTAGATCATCAGGAACTAAAATAAAAAGGAAAAACACGCAAGAGAGAGAGAACATAGGAAAGAGGTAGTACAGATTTGATAATTGGATTTTAAGTTATACTTGTCTGTCTGCATTTGTGCGTGTGCGTGTGTGTGTGTGCAAATATAAGGAGGACGAGGAGAAGGAGGGGGTTGGTAGTATCCGTTTGGCTGACCTAAAAAATCCAACTCAACTTAAATCAGTCAGTCAGCTGAAACGTGAAACTTCGTACATGTACACGTACATCAGTTCCAGTTGCCAAACCACATTAGCACACACAGATGTAACTGTCAGTTTAAGGGCCATAGTAGTAGAGGTAGTGGAACTATTAGCAGTAATCGGAGAGATTAGGGTTCGATGATATTATTCAAGAAGTATAATGTAATGAAATAAATTTAAAAATAAAGATAGAGGTGATGAGGCATTCAGGAGGTTAGAAACTGAGAGAACACACCTACGCGATGGCAAACGATTGTCAGCCATGTCGTTCAAAGTCTCTAACTATTGGTGACTTTCGTCTCGCGGACCCCAACCAGATAGCCTACATCTGCCAACATGACTCAGTCCACTTGTCAGTGACTTCATGGATTTCTGCCATGTTTTGTTTGGCCGCCCCTAACTTTCTTCCAACCTACTCCTACACCAAAAGATAGCTCGTCGAGGCAGTCGGTGGTTGGGCATTCGTAACACGTGTCCCAACCACCTCAACTGATGAAGTTTCAATGCTTCATCTATTGATTTGCCATCTTTACCTAGTACTCGTTTCCTAATGATAGAATTGCTTACTCGGTCGTCCCCGGATACACGAGCAATGCTTCGAAGACTAAACTGGATTCACTTAACTGACAATCTTTGAATTAATATGTTTTGAGAAAATACCCCCCTCCTTCAGTCAGTTCATATCTGAAGTCGTTTACAATCTCCGCCATCTCCATCTTTCTCTCTCTCTCTCACACACATACACGAATACAAATACACAGTGCGAATGATCCTGTCAACACACACTTACTTAATGGTTGATTCCACGGAGTGATCTTTTTATCATCAGTTTCAACAAGCATTTCATCACTGGAATAATGATAATCATCCATATCGTAATCTTCATCCTCCTCGTCTTCCTCTGCCTGCTGCTCCGGCTGCTGTTCCACAATCTCAACATCTTCATCATTGTCATTATCATATTCATCATCGAATCCCTGCAAAGAAAACCGAAAAACCGTTGAAATAAAAATAGAAAGTAACAAAACTCAAATAACTGCAGCTCTCCCAGTCTCTGATGAGGTGGGATATTTTGAAAAAAAAACATACATCGATCCATGTTGGACCATCATTAGAAACCTGGAAGTACTGGAGGGCTGTTTTATCCTGGTATGGGACTCTCATCAGTGGTGCACATCCATGACTTCTGCTACCCGCAGGATTCGAACCCAGGGGCTCCGGCCTTGCACACGAACGATTAACCTCTAGGCCGGCATTCAACTGTGTGAATGTTTAACTTCAATCAGTCCACGGTCTTGCAAAACGTTGGGAAATGTTTATGAAGTCAATCTGAGTCGTGTAGGTAGGTAGGTAGGTGGTCCGCGAAATAACTGCGATCAATAGTTAGAGAATTGATTGTTATTAGGGGGGGGGGAAACAAGATGCTTTCAATTTGTGCCTTTCTCCAGAGCACAAAGCTCAACGATTCTTCTAAAAAGTACGCCTATTTTACGAACGTTTTTTCCCCAATCTCTGATCGTTTTCACTATTTAAAAGCTGCGTTAATTTGGTAATGACAATTACGGCTGACATATGATATGCCTGAATATCTAAAATCTTTTATAACATAGTAATATGACAATAATGATCATAGAGCTAAGTCAATGAATGATAATCACTGAAGGAGAATCACAATGATAGAGTGTTCTTTTCAACAACATTCATGAAGTACAAACTTCAAGTACCAGTGAAGTATGCAAGTTTTTGTACATATGACTGATAGCCTGCCACGTCGGTCACTTCATTATAATTCATTATTGTTGACATTATTTGTACTTGAAGTTAGTTTATGCTGGTATTATCCAGAAGAACAATGAAAGTTCTTGTTCATGATCAAACGACTTTTAGTTCACAGAATGAAACTTTATCACAATTATGCATGGTGCACATGTGACACTGGTGATTAATAAAATGTCAACACAATCAGGATAACAACTGCCATATGTTGAAATCCACGATCCCGACCGTAGCGGCTACCTTGACGCGGTGGTCGGGTTAGCCTAACAAGATGACCCAGCGAGCTGAATTGGCTGGAAGATATGTTGCTGTAGGTTTTACACTACCTAAGGTAGGTCGATTGGAGAATGATAAGTCTAAAAGCAGCAACTCAAACTATGAGGGCGAAGTCGTACTGCTGACCGATTGAAGAGGGATGTGATAGCAGTAAGGTGTTTCCATCGGACAATCAGCATCTGCAGCAATTCTGCCTTCTCATAGGGAATGAAGGGGTTAGAAAAGGTCGACCCTAAAAATGTCAAACTTCATCTTACCCCACGGATTTCCGTCCCCAATGGTAAGGCCATTTGAAGAGCTGAACTAACACTTTGAAAACTCACCATAAAAACGCCGTGTGTGACCAACCTCAAGCAGTCATCCTTGTATTCTGTGGTCAGGCTCTCAGATCGCTAAGACCAGCGCAAATCCAACTACTTTTCCAGGTTCCTGAAGAATTACCCTTCCAGTCGGGAAGTGATATCAGCCCTCATACCCATGACAGCACACGAGACCAAGTTGGTCACAATTATATCCTTCCTACACCTGCTAATATCCCGTAACAGCTTATCCACGATCCAATAAAGGATAGAATTTAAAGGGACCTCAACATTTAAACCAGTGAGTCAGTAAGTATCTAGTGTGTTTGACATTTCTAACTTCAGTTGACTGGCAGTAATGCATGGATTATCTAACGCCTTTAGTAAATAACTCCCTCATATCTGACATGATTGCATGCGAATTGATCACGGCTTTGAGCTCTTAGAACTTCAATGAAATACTCCTCTCACACACATTTAATCACACGTACATACGCACATAAACAAACAAGACAAACAAATTACAAACAACTTACAATTTCCGGAGACAAATTACGTCGACAACTACGTTTTTTAGAATTTGATGCAGTTTTTCGATTAGATTTATTTTTAGTGAATGTGTCAGTGGGAAACACATCAGTAGCAGTTTTATTAGTGCTGGTGATCAAAGAACCACTAGGAACATTATCGCCATCATCATCGAGAGGAGATTGTGATGACTTCTTTGTTGGTTGCTGTTGCACTAATTCTGAATGAATACCATCATCATTATCGCCATCATCAATATTAATGTTGGACAATTGAGTTTTACTTGAATTTTTATGCTGATTCAGTGGATTTGAGGCGGTTAACTATACATGAAAATATAATACATGTGTGTATGTGTGCGTGAGAGAGTGAAAATAATTGGAGAAATAAATCGATATTGAGAAATTTTTTTCTTACGACAGTTTAGCCTACCCTCATGAAATAGTTTCTCATATAGTTCAGTATTTATAGCCTCACTTCAAAGGAAATCGTACTTATTGCCTTCACATGGCAGAAATAATAAGATGCTGAAACGAAGTTGGTGTATAATGGAGGATTTATTTATACAGCGAGTTGGATTCAAAACCACCGGTGCACATAGGCTCTAGCCTCCTGACACAACAAATGCTCTATGAACGTATTGTTAGTCGCCGGCTACCGCGGGACTGCATCTCTTAACGTCGCTCTACGGCCCTAAGTATTATGTTATGTATAAAAATTCACTCCGTTTTTCTACTCAGCGCAAGAATCAAAAAGTAATTCAAGATGTGGGAGTCACTGATAGAGCGTTCATAAAACCTGTCCAATTCATCCAAGTCCATGTTCACGAATGATGGCTTCCGTTGAATTACCATCACACATAAAATACACATGTCAGTATTGTTTACTCTATGTTGCTACGGAATATGGTCGATCCTTCGGAAATAAGAATAATCGTATCACACAATAGCTGATAATCCTGAGCTTGGATTGTTAATGCTTCACATAAAAAAAGTAAAACTTCTCCTCCTACTGATTTGTTGCATACTGAGGTTTGTAGAGTTATTAGAATGGCATCGAAGATAAAAAGTTTTCAGAGGCATTTCATTCTCTGACCTGGATAGTTTAATCATAAGGATTTAAGTTATGACAGAAAGAAATGATGTCTTCGAATTGCTGGTAAAGCTAAACTATACTGATGAGCTTGAGTGAACCAGACAGGATGAGGGTAGCACCGCTTTGATTTGTGCGCGAAATTCAAAGCGCAATAAACGACAACATATATTTTACTAAGAACTCATAAAATAACCTCTCATATCTTCGTTTTCTAGACGCTTACAATTTATTGTTAAGAAAAATACCATCTTTACAATCTGTTAGGGACGTTAGATTCACAGAGCTCACTTGGTAAAGGTCCTAATGTGGAATTTATGTGTCTCCACGCATAAGTTGCTTAATTAACCTTCAGCTTACATCTTCCACTCGCAAAATTATTCACTGTCATTGGTCGATGGATTAGTTTAGTACGCTATTTTTGCGACTCACCCAACGACGTTTCGGTTATGTATAAATAAACTCAACTTGTGTGCTTGTAGAATACACTTTCTACGCCTTATTATCAAGACTTCTTGATACAGTTAGCCGTGCCGGGGACAAATGGATCAGAATAGCCTATCGTGTCACTACACCATTTATTTGCGCTCCGTTTACCGAGTAAGGTGAACTCGTAATAGCTTCAAGCATATCACAATCACATGGTGCCCAAGCTAGATTACAAGGAGTATCTGTTGTTCGACTAGATTGTATATTACAGTACATGATGTGATTGAAATGGTGTTTGTGTGTACGAGAAAAATATTCTCACAAGCTAACCTTAACCACAACTACTTAAAACTGTTTCTCATATATATAATTCACTACATAAAGGTTTATGAATCTTGGCCAACATTATTCATCCATTGTAATTTTCTAACTACCTTTTAAATTGATACACAGACAGATAGACAGATACAACACAGAACTCCATACGTATGTACATCAGTTTAAGTTGTCATACAACATTAGCAGAGAGACGTCCCTGTCAGTTCAAATCCCATAGTGGTAGAGATAGTAGAAATATTACCAGTAATGGACGAGATTAGGGTATAATTCAGTGAGACAAAGTTAGAAAGAGAAAGATAGAGATGATGAGTGATTCAGAAAGTTAGAATTTCAGAGAACACAAATAGTGGATACAGCTGCGCCATTGCAAACGGTTTCGAGCAGTGTCGTTCAAGGCCTACAACCATCGATTACAATCACCTTGCGGCTCCAACCAGGTAGTCGACACCTATCAACATGATTCAGTTCACTTGTCAGTGACTTCGTGGATTTGTGCTGCCCCTAGATTTCTTCCAACCTACTCCTAAACCAAAAAACATAGCTCGTCGAGGCAGTCGGTGGTTTGGCATACACAACACATGTCCGAACCACCTCAACTGATGAAGTTTCGCTACTTTATCTATTGATCTGCAATCCCTACCTAGTACTCGTTTCCTAACGACAGCATTGCTCACTCGATTGTTCCAGAATATACGATTAATGCAAATCGATACACAATTGAATAGTTTTTTCTAAAATGGCTAACAAATCGCTAAAAAAGAAATAAATTATCAGTACAGTTATAAGCTTATTCTATTCATTTGATAATTATAAGACATCTATCTGATTGGTAATTGGCATTCAATTGTGTTATCATTATTTATGTTGTACGATTGATTTTTCACCTGATCAGGACAGGGGAAAAGTGTAAGTAGAGAAATAAAATAACACTATTATTATTATTATTATTATTATTATTATTATTATTAGACAGTAAAACGCTTCGAAATGAGATTTTGAACAGATCAATTCTTTTTCAGTTTTTCAAAGTACGCATGAATGATGTTGGCTTTGATTTAGGTGGAAAGGAAGGCCTTTTTTTCTGTCACATACACATACACCAGTACATAAACAGCAGCTTTCTAACCCGAGAACACAAGAACTCCTGGACTACTCCTAATGGCTTACTATAAACAATGAATGTAAGCAATGATTCACCCTGAGCAACAATGCAAGCATGTTCGGGATGCGGTTTTCCTACTCAAAATACAAAATGTTGCTTCAATATTCGGTAGCATAGGTACCTGAACTAGTGATGGGGAATGAAACAGCCGAGCGTGTAGACCACTGCACTTATGTCGGGAGTCTCATCATTGCCGATGGCCTGGTAACTGACGAAATCTCAGCACGGATACAGAAGGCTCGATTGGCTTTTAACAACCTACGCCACTCATGGCGCAGGTGAGTTTACTGACTGAAGGACGAGTGTACTGCGCAGTAGTTCGCTTCGTCCAACTTCATGGCTGTAAAACATGGTCAGTCAGAGTAGAAGATATTCTTAGGTTGCTTGTCTTCGATCGTAGGTGTCGCCGAAGCATTGCTCGTGTATCGTGGATAACCAAGTAAGCAATGCTGTTATTAGGAAACGGGTGCTACGTAAGGATGGCAGGTCAATATATGAAGTATTGGAACTTCATCAGTTGAGGTGGTTGGAACCACCGACTGCCTCGTCGAGCTATATTTTGCGATGTAGGAATAGGTTGGACGAAAGACAGGGGCGGCCAAACAAAAAAAACATGGCAGCAATCTATGAAGTCATTGACAAGTGAACTGAATCATGTTGGTAGGTGTCGACTACCTGGTTGGGGTCCGCAAGATGTTAGTGATCGATGGTTAGAGACCCTGAGTGGCATGGATCGAAACCGTTTGCAATGGCGCAGGTATATTCATTCATTGTGTTCTCTCAACTCGGAACCCTCAAAGTTCCTAAACACCTTTATCTTTCTCCTTTTAAGTTTATTTCACCAGATTCTACTTCTTGACCAAAATCTTTGAACCCTAATCTTCTCAAGTATCGCTAATACTTCTACCACGTCAACCACTATGGGATTCGAATTGACAATAAGGGTCTTTCTGCTAAAGTAGTATGGCAACATGAACTGATGTACGTACGTACGATGTTCTACATTGCGATTGATTGACTGATTGAAGCAACGATTCATACCAGTATTTTTAAAATTATTTCTGAATTGCAAACTACATTATAGGTGTAAGGGTCAGTGTAATAGTACTACTCGATTTACTGTACAAATCAAAGTAGGTGAAGCAACGATTCAGACCTGTTGAAACTCAAACATCAGTCCACAAAAATACATATGTAGGACTTCGTACGTACGCACGTACATCAGTTCAGGTTGCCATGTCACATTAGCACAAAGATGCAAATGTCAGTTCAAATCAAATAGTGGTAGAGATAGTAGAAGTATTAGCAATAATGGAGAAGATTAGGGTTCGAAGATATTATTAAACGAGTATAATTCAGTGATCTAAATTTAGAAGGAGAAAGATAGAGATGATGAGGAATTCAGGAGGTTAGAATTTGAGAGAACACAAAGAATGAATACGCCTGCACCACTGGAAACGATTTTGAGCTGTGTCATTCAGGGTCTCTAACCATCGGTTATTATCGTCTCAGGGACCCCAAACAGGTAGTCTATATCTATCAACACGACTCAGTACGCTTGTCAATGACTTCATGGATTTCTGCCATGTTTTGATTTGGTTTTCCCTAGCTTTCTTCCAACCTACTCCTACACAATAAAAAATAGCTCGTCCAGGCAGTCAGTGGTTGGACATCAGCACAAAATTCAGATAGAAGTATGAAGTTTGTCCTCAGACAACGAAACTCCACCACAATCATCCACTTAAGATACACATATATATTTTTCTTGTTTGTGCACATATCTTCCAGGAAAACAATTTAAAATCATGATAAAAATCATAAACACTTACATATAAATAACAAATATCACCTGATTTCAATCCACAATCAGCTAATGTTAAACAATTGTTATGACTAGATTTATGTTTTGTATCAACACAAACATTATGATTCGTTGTGGTAGTGTGGATCATAGTGGCTGGAACATTGGAATGTTTTATTGATGCGGTGGATTTATTTTTAAATGATTGTCTATTCGAATGTTGTTGTGGCTGTTGTTGTTGCTGGAAATAAGGTTGATTTAATTCATGAATTAATAAATTCAATACTTTATTCGACACGATTTGTTTATTAGTATGGATTGGGACATCATCAGTCCTGCTATGAACACGACGATTAGCTTTCGATTGAATAGACGACCAGAATTGATTTGTTATTGGGATACCTGTGATTTGTTGTAAATCTTGATGTATTTGTGAGATTAATGCATCACATGGTAAATGTAAATCATGATAAGTGGTAGTAGAGGGTGAAGTTGATTTTTCGGGTCGATCGATACTACTACTACTACTACCACTACGACGAGTAGTAGTAGTAGCGGTAGTCGTTGTTGTTGTGGTTCGTGTCGGTGTTTCACATAAACTAATATGCAATGTAACTAGTTCATTTTGTTGATTTGAATTATCACTATTTTTGTGTTGTTTAGAAAACACAACACCAGCAAGAACATGTTCCAATGATGAGTGTAGTGTTTTTATCCGGTTGAAAAAGATTTTGGAAAAACAAAGAAACATAAAACATGGTTATATGGATTCACAAACAAAATGAATCTTAAAACGTGTTAGAAACATTGAGTTTTAATCAACTAATGTTAGACTACGATTAGACACCTTGTAAACATTGGATGGCCGCGTCGTCACCGTATGAGACCCATTAGCAGTGAGCATCCATGGTCTCACAAGTAGACCTTTGTTCTCGCACGCGAACGCTTAATTTCTTGACCACTGGGTCGGCACCTAACGGTGTTATTGTCTTACTTCAATCAATTTACGATATTGTGTGACCTCATCTATTGTCTTCGATGGGTAACTGCCTCACACTCGACACAATTGGATCCCACTGGTACAATGTCGAGAATTTCATCACGAAGCTAGTCCGTAGTGAGCACACGATAATTATGGTGCTGAGTTTGATTCCTGCCCAAAGGAGTCCTGGATGCGCACTGCTGGTGGGTTCCATACTAGGACGAAACGGTCATCCAGTGTTTCCCGGTTCCTAAAAGCAGTCTAACATTGACTTATTCTTCAAGTACATGACTTTTTATACATTTTAAACACCAAGTCCAATAATTGTTCGACTTCCATTACTCAACAACTTAAATTGAAAGAAAAGAGCAAAATGGAGTTGAAAAAGTAACTAGAAATGGCCAAACCTAAACATGAAATCATTAATTGCTTGTTATGAAGTAGGTAGGCAAGTGCTGAATATCTATCTGTTCAAAGTTACCAATGGTTCAAGAAGTTGGATGATACTGTTGAGGACGTCAGATCCACAGAATTCACTTGGAAAAGGTCCTAAATTTGTGGTTTCGCGCATGAGCTGATCAGTTAACCTTTAGATTACATTTCCCACGCGGGAATCGTTGACTGTTATTGGTTGATGTACTATCTTACAACGCTATTTTTGTGGGTGCTTGTAGAATACACTTTCTATGCCTTATTATCAAGACTTCTTCCTCTACTTAGTGCGGTCTTCGGACGCTCGGATTAGAATAGCCTATCGTATCACTGCATTGTTTGTCTTCGCTCTCGTTTACCGACAGATGAACCCGTAATATTTTCAAACATATCAACTGACGAGCATAAAATATACGCAATGAAATCGATTACTATGATCTAAATATATATTCATTCATTGATTTTCTTTAGTACTCTTAAGCTTTAAAATTAACTTATTTTTCATTTTTATTAAGGATTTGGGTTTCTTAAAAAAAGACAAATAAACATCATTAACACAGATGATCCAGGCATATGTCTGCGTTGACAAAAGTTGCCATATCACAAAATTAGAATGATAAGAGATGAAAACAACAAAAAGGGACTAGAGGAGGAAGAATGCATTAGACTAACGGTCAATGACTTCATTAGCTGATGTTCTTGCTTCAGCCTTGTTGCTCTTAGTCTTCTTGTAATCTACATCTACACTAACTAACTACCACGGACCACACGATCGTAGCTGCTACCTTGACACCGGGTGGTCAGGCTTGCCTATCGTGATGACCAACCAAGATATACTGGCTGGAACTTATGTTCCTGTAGGTTCTACCATGCCAGGCAGGTCGATTGTAGAACGATGAGACTAAAAGCAGCTACACAAGGTCTGAGGGTGAAGTCGTACTGCTGACTGCAGAGAGGTGTGACAGCAGTAAGGTGTTTCCCTCGGAAAACCAGCATCTTCAGCGATGCTGGCTTCTCACAAGGAAGGAAGGGATTAGAAAAGGTCGACCCTAAAAATATCACACCTCACCCTACCTCACGGATTTCCGTCTCCGGCGGTAAGGGTACTCACGAAGGGCTTTTAAGAGCGGAGCTAATACTAAAAAAAGCCTTTCATCGAAAGGCCGTGCGTGACCGGCCTTAAGCAGTTGTCCCTTGGGTTTTGCGGTCACACAACCAGATCTCTAAGACCAACTCCAATCCGCCATCTTCTTTTTCAGGTTCTTCGAGAAACACCCCTCCATGGTGTGAGCAGCCGGAAAGTGACAACCGCCCTGACACCCGTAACAGCACGCAGAGCTATGTTTTGTGGTGTAGGAGTAGGTTGGAAGAAAGCTAGGGGCGGCCAGACCAAAACATGGCAGAAATCCATGAAGTCACTGACAAGTGGACTGAGTCATGTTGGTAGATGTAGACTACCTGGTTGGGGTCCGCGAGACGAAAGTCATCAACGGTTAGAGACCTTGAACGACATGGCTCAAAATCGTTTGCAATGCCGCAGATGTATTCATTCTTCGTCTTCTCTCAAATTGTAACTTTCTGAATTCCTCATCACCTCAATCTTTCTGTATAAGTTTCTTTTACTAGATTCTACTTCTTGAATAATATCTTCGAACACTAATCTCTCCGATTACTGCCAATATTTCTACTATCCCTACTACTATGAGATATGAATTGACAATTGCATCAATGTGGGCTAATGTGGTTTGGCAACTTGAACTGATGTACGTACATAAGAAGTTCTGCGTTGTAGCTGAGCTGTGCTTAACCATTTAAGTTAATGAAAATTGCCAAGCTCATCAAGTGATTTGCAATATTTCACAAGTACCTTATGCCTAACCTCAACGATTCTCACCCGATCATTCCACAAAATGAAAGCAATGCTGCATAGACCTGCAGCCCATGCATGTCTTCTACTTTCATAGGTTATAGTGTACATCCATCAAATAGAACAGAGCAAACTACTGCACAGGATACATGATCTTGTGATTGACAGACGGAAGTTTTAAGCTGAATAGAGAGAAGACAATGAAAGCTTTGCAACTGAACCATTTAGCTCAGAGAAAAAAAACCGCTCTCGACATTTTTTAGGCCTGGCCTTGCTTACTCTCACCCTTTCCCTTTCACCTGGTGATCGATTGGATTATGAAGACGTCAGCATCTGGAGGGAAGCACGGTATGAAATGGACAGCTAGGAGGCAGCTGGACAATCAGGACTTCGAAGATGACTTGGCTCTTCTGTCTCACACGCAACAACAAATGAAAGAGAAGACGACCAGTGTAGCAGCAGCCTCTGCAGCAGCAGGTCTCAACATACATAAAGGAAAAAGCAAAATTCTCCGATGCAACACAACATGCACCAACCAAATCATTCTTGATGGAGATGCCTTGGAGGACGTTAACACTTTTACATATCTGGGCAGCATCATCGACAACCAAGGTGGATCGGATGCAGATGTGAGGGCGCGGATCGGCAAAGCGAGGGCTGCATTTCTACAGTTGAAAAATATCTGGAACTCCAAACAAATATCAATCAACACGAAAATCAGGATTTTCGATACAAATGTGAAGACAGTTCTACTGTATGGAGCGGAAACATTGAGAACTACCGAAGCCATCATCTAGAAGATACAAGTGTTCACTGACAGTTGTCTACGCAAAATACTTCGGATTCGTTGGCCAGACACTATCAGCAACAACTTACTGTGGGAGAGAACAAACCAGATTCCAGTGGAGAAGGAAATCAGGAAGACACACTGAGAAAAGCACTCAACTGTGTCACAAGACAAGCCCTCACATGGAACCCTCAAGGTAAAAGGAAAAGAGGAAGGTCAAAGAACACATTACACCGAGAAATAGAGAACGACATGAGAAGAATGAAAAAAAACTGGAAAGAACTAGGAAGGGAAGCCCAGGACAGAGTTGGTTGGAGAAAACTGGTGGGTGGCCTAAGCTCCATTGGGGGTAACAGGTGTAAGTACGTAAGATCTTGCAAGTATTTTTTTTCCTATCATAGTCGTTTCACCTTCCTTAATAATTTCAATTTTAATTAATTCAGAGTAAAAAACGAAATGAAGTAATCAACGAATAATTACTGAAATACAAAATGTTATTTAATTCACCGGTTAGTTAAAAAACTACACAATGCATGTATGTTTATTGACAAGATATGAAGGATATGAATCACTTACCATTGCGGTAAAGGATCTGCAATGAGTTTAGCTCGAAGTTTAATACATTTCGGTAGATGTAATGTACGTAAGAGTGCCTGGAATGGAAATATCATTGAAACAATAAATAAGACCATTGATTTATTTATGATTTAGCTAGAAAACAATAAGGTTGTAGTGGTGTGTTTGGTTCTCTGAGCTCTCACTCCAGCTCTTCAGCAGCTCAGAAAACCAAACACCACCACAATCATCCACCTGAGCAACAAATTTTCTCCACCATCTCAAAACAAAAAGGTGTTTGAATGAAAAATCAAGCCTGTAAATGACTAATACTTGAATTTGAGATACGGAATCGAACAAGCAGACAAGTTAAGTGGATTGTTTCGAAAATCAAGAATCAAAAAGTTGCATTCCAACTTCATGTTATTTCATAGTACACCGAATAGATAACTGTTTGTAGAATGCTACATTAATAGCTAGGGTTGTTAATTCTGATATTACAAAAGTGTACAAAACACTGAATGCTGCATACAGAGCTTTAACTTTACAGTGGGTACTACTTGGATTAGGTGAAGAGGTACCATACTGTGACGACCAGATAATTATTATATACTCGTGTTTATGGATCCTGTAATGCCACACAATCAGGTTAGTTGAAGAACGATGAGATTAAAAGCACCAATATAAGATCTAAGGGAGAAATGTTACTGTTGACTAAATTCCAATTAGAACTCAATACAGTATTTCTTTAGGATAACCAGTAATTGTAGAGATGCTGCCTTCACTCAAAAAGTAGGAAGGGGTTAAAAATGATCAACCTTAAAACAAAGAGTAAACCTCATACTGGCTCAAGGAATTTCATCACCGGCAGTAAGGTGTGAAAGGAGCCGACTTAGAACATCAGCTGTGATATCGGGTGCGAGAAGCTATCCGCCCAAACCCTTTGATCATGCTCTCAATGTTTTTAAGACTATCCACTTTAACCAGATTTCTTGTTGGGCACGTTAGATCCCCAAGAACTCACTTGGAAAAGGTCCTAATTTCGGATATTTTAAGTTTTCATGCATAAGTCTCTTAGCTGACCTTCAGCTTACATTTTCCACTCGGAAAATCCTTCACTGTCATTGGCTGATGGATTGTTTTGGTGCGCTATTTTTGTGGCTCTCCCAACGACGTTTCTATTATATATAAATAAGCTCGATTTGTGTGCTTGTCAATCTCGTATTTCTGGGCGCTTGAAGAATACATTTTCTATGCCTTATTTTCAAGACTTCTTGATCTGGTTAGCCGTGCCGGGGACATACGGATTAGAAGAGCCTATCATGTCACTTCATCATTTATCACCGTTTACCGAGTAAGGTGAACTCGCCAGAGCATTCAAGCACATCAATTGACGATGCATATCATTCCTGAGATGCAAATAGTAGAGCTCCCTAATATCCAAATTCAAGTACATCATTGTCCTAAAATTTAGTGTGTCAAAGATATGACTGAACCATGTTATCTTGTTTTGCTTAAACTTTTCATTTGAGTGCAAAACTCCGCCAGTAGATCATTCAGGGCTACTGCCGGTCCCAAGCCCGGATAAAGGAGAAGGGTTGAGATGTGGGTTGGCGACTCAATGCCACAAAAAAACCAACTTGTCAACATAAAAAGCTAACATGAAAAAATAATTCAAACCATATGAACTCTACCCTGGGGGTTAGAAGGTCTTCATTTAGAAGAGTTATGACCTCTCATAATGAAAACCGAGTCCCTTTGGAAGTCGTAAGGCCGATACTCCTTCTGACAACCACAACCCTTCCACGGTGAGGGCAGCTAGGAAGTGACATCATACTCATAAATACGCATGAGACCAAAATGGTCAAAATCAAATAGTTTCCACACCTCCTAATTACTGTCTTATCTCATCGAACAACACTTCTTTCGATCGTTTATCATTGAATACTATACAATAGATTAGTGTATAAAGCCAGAAATAAACAAATAACTTTATCACTCACTGAATTATCATCAAATGAATGAGATCCAGAACTCTCTAAAACCAAATGTTTCATAAGATTTGCTTTACTATATTCTGTTATTTTCGTTTCGAATTCTGGACTTGTTGCTAATTGTATAAGCTCAGTTAGTCGACAATCAATAAAATGTTGTTTTAAAAATCCAACAGTTTCTGTATCAGGAAAAGGAAAACTTTCTTTCACAAACTTTTTCTCATGATTCATATCATCCCCAATAGGTAATTCCAAATCAATTTCAAAATTCAATATACGAACTTGTCGACAAGAATTAAACGTAGCTTGATCACTGTCCAGCTCGATAACTGATCGAGAAATTGCTGAAGATGTATCACTCCCAGAGAAATCAGTATCAAAACCACACATAGTTGAGACAGAAACAGATTGAGTTGCTGGGTTACGATCTGTTGATGCTTCAGATGAAAAAATAGGTCCAATAAATGGAGGCATAGGAAAAACTGTAGAGTATGGAAGAGATTGATCTTCTTGGGCAGGTGGTGATGAAGCTATTCAATAAAAAGAAAGGGTGAATTATTTACATCGTTTAAAAGTATACACTATTCAGCAAACGGAATCATTAATAAACGCCTACAACTAAACTATTCACTTGAACGTGACCATCATATCTACACTGCTAGAATGAATGGTGAAAACTGTGAAGTCGATCAATAGGTCAAATCATTATACTTGACACCTGATGATAACCGATAAAATATTTGCTGATTTTTGTTTTATGAACTGTTACGCATGAATGTAAACATGTCATTTTGATATGATTGAACTATTACGAGTTTACCTTAGTCGGAAAACGAGAGTGAGGACCGAGGATCCGGTGACCGGAATAGACCAATAATTCTCTAAGGATATTGGATGAATATCCTAACATGAACATCCTGTATAGACATGTTTCATTGTTGTGGATGAGTAGTATGAATCAAGGTTAAATAAGCATAGCATTATTTCGGGTTCAGTTTCCTGACCACAACTGCTAACTTAATGTGGTGGTCGGGTTTGCCTATCTTGATGAGCCAACCGAGCTATATTGGCTGGAACATATGTTCCTACAGATTCGACCATGCCAGGCAGTGGCGGGGTCTGTCAATAAAAGATGCACCAACGAAGTACGTTAACCTTATACAGGCTCTCTACTGGAACACTAGCGGCTGGGTTAGAGCCTATAGCGAACTATCATCCGAATTAGTTACTTCATGTGGTGTTCATCAGGGATGTCCACCCTCTCTATTCTTGTTTAACTTTGCTGTAGATATGCTTTTAGTCAGTCAGTTGCAACGTAGAACTTCGTACGTATGTACATAAGTTCATGTTGCCATACCACATTATTAGCACAGAGACGCAAATGTCAAATCAAATCCCGTAGTGATAAAGATAGTAGAGGTATTAATGTTATAATAAAGAAGACTAGGGTTTAAGATATTATTCAAAAAATATAATTCAGTGAGATAAGATTATAAAGACAAAGGCAGAGGTATTGACGAATCCAGAAGATAGGATTTGAGAGAGCTCAAAGAGTGGATGCACCTGCGCCATTGCAAACGATTTTGAGCCATGTCGTTCAAGGTCTCTAACCGTTGATGACTTTCGTCTCGCGGACCCCAACCAGGTAGTCTACATCTACCAACATGACTCAGTCCACTTGTCAGTGACTTCATGGATTTCTGCCATGTTTTGGTCTGGCCGCCCCTAGCTTTCTTCCAACCTACTCCTACACCACAAAACATAGCTCGTCGAGGCAGTCGGTGGTTAGGCATACGTAACACATGTCCCAACCACCTCAACTGATGAAGTTTCACCACTTCATCAATTGATCTGCCATCCTTACCTAGTACTCGTTTCCTAACGACAGCATTGCTTACTCGGCTGTCCCACGATATACGAGCAATGCTTCTTAAACATCTATGATCGAATACTAGTAACCTACGAACATCTTCTACTCTTAACGGCCATGTTTCACAGCCATATAAGAGAACGGAACGAACTGCTGCGCAGTACACCCGCCCTTTGGTTAGCGAACGGATATCACGCCTACGCCATAAGTGACGCAGGTTGGCAAAAGCCAATCGAGCCTTCTGTATCCGAGCTGAGATTTCGTCAGTCACCAGACCGTCAGCACTGATGAGACTCCCAAGATAAGTGAAGTGGTCTACACGTTCGACCACTTCACTCCCTATCACTAGTTTAGGTGCCGATGAAACCCAGTCTTGAAGCAACATTTTGCATTTCGAGGGGGAAAACCGCATCCCGAACATGCTCGCATTGTTGCTGCTACCTTGACGTGGTGGTCGGGCTTGCCTATCGTGATGACCCAACCGAGCTATACTGGCTGGAACACATGTTCCTGCAGGTCCTACCATGCCAGGCAGGTCGATTGGAGAACGATGAGACTAAAAGCAGCTACCCAAGGTCTGAGGGCGAAGTCGTACTGCTGACTGCAGAGGGGTGTGACAGCAGTAACGTGTTTCCCTCGGACAACCAGCATCTGCAGCGATGCTGCCTTCTCACAAGGAAGGAAGGGTTAGAGAAGGTCGACCCTAAAAATGTCACACCTCCCCTACCTCACGGATTTCCGTCTCCTTGGGTAAGGGTGCCCACTAAGGGCCTTTAAGAACGGAGCTAATCCTCTAAATACCTCTCATAAAAAGGCCGTGCGTGACCGGCCTGAAGCAGTTGTCCCTTGGACTCTGCAGTCACGCACCAACACTAATCCATCTTCCTTTTCAGGTTCGTCAAGAAACAACCTTCCACGGTGTGGGCAGCCGGGAAGTGATAACCGCCCTCATACCCGCAACAGCACACGAGACAAAATGGGTCAAAATCAAATCCTTCCTACATTCCCTAATACCTCTCTTATCTCCACAACTAACTCTTCTCACATTCATTTATTACAGCGCACAGCTAATGCAAACGATGCGAGTTTGCGAAACGTCGTTCCTGGTCTCCTTAAACCCCGTTCCAAACTACATGTTGGAGCATTCAATGTACGGACATTGTGTCAAATAGGGCAACAGGCGTCATTAGCTAGGACTTTAGAATCTCGTTCCATCGATGTGTGCTGCGTCTCAGAAACGCGCATACAGGATCCGAGTAGCATCACTCATTTGACCTCACCATGTCAAGATAAAGAAGCAGCTCGATTTACCCTTCGTGTATCCGGTAGCCCTGATGCTGCTTCTAGGGGCCTCGCCGGTGTAGGTATAGCATTGAGTCGTAGGGCAGAACAATCTCTCCTTGACTGGATCCCTGTAGATAGTCGCTTGTGCGCCGTCCGACTGAACGGGACAGTAAGGACTCGGAAAGATAGGGACACTCGCCGTTGCCTCTTCGTCATATCAGCCTACGCCCCCACTGACTGCAGCCCAGATGATGTAAAAGATGAGTTTTACAGAAAGCTTTCGGACCTCCTCCAAAAAGTTAAGCGCTCTGATATAGTTATAATGGCTGGTGACTTCAATGCACAAGTAGGTAGACTAAGTGAAAATGAAAGACACCTAGGTGGATGTTACGGTCTCGCGGCTCAAAGAACAGACAATGGCGACCGTCTGTTGCAACTGTGCTCAGATAACCAACTATTTCTAGCAAACACTAATTTTAAGCATAAGGAAAAACACCTTTTGACCTGCCGACCCCCGAAGTCGTCTCAACGTTGGACACAACTAGATCATATCGCCATCAGCCACCGATGGAGGGGTTCGATAGAGGACTGTCGCTCGTTCTGGGGCACATGTTTAGATTCAGATCATGCCCTAGTGCGAGCACGTATTTGTTTGAGGCTTGCTGGACGTAGGAAAGACACCGTAAGGAAGCCTCTTAGGGCTTTACTTGATGATAATCAAGCTAAGAAAATATTTCAGGAGGAACTAGAAAAACAGTTGGGCGATCATGCAAGTGATTCCCATCCGGAGTCAGGTTGGAATGATATCAAAAAGGCTGTGGAAACAGCAGTGATATCTGCTAGCAAGGTAAACCATAAGGCTAGGATGAAGCCGTGGATTTCAGTCGCATCCACCGAACTGATGGATGCACGAAAACGCATCCCACCTGACTCTGAACATGATGAAGAGCGTACTCAACTTAGGTGCAGACTTATAAAAAGCCTACGTAACGACCGTGAACAGTGGTGGGTGGCGAAAGCAAAAGCGATGGAAAAGGCAGCGGCAATAGGCAACACTAGACAACTTTTCCGCCTTATCAAAGAAACCGGTATTAGGAACCCGAATGTAAGTGAGACTATCTCGGAAAAGGATGGTCTTATTATCCATTCTCAATCTAGGAGGCTGGACCGATGGGCAGAACACTTTAGGGATCAGTTCAACTGGCCTTCAGCCACTCTTCGGTTGCCCACGATCTCCAGTCATCTTGAATGGCAAATCGATTTAAGTCCTCCCAGTTTACATGAAGTTGAGAAAGCTATAGGAAATCTAAGGAGAGGTAGAGCGGCAGGTCCCGATAGGCTTACCCCTGAGATGTTTAAGGATGGCGGTCCAGTTTTAACGGTTAAACTGACCGAGATCCTAGGTAGAATCTGGGAAATGGACGTAATCCCATCTGACTGGTCTCAGTCGCTGATTGTCCCAATCTACAAGAAAAGACAAAAGTCCTCTTGTGACAATCACAGGGGAATAAGTTTAACTAATATAGTTTCTAAATTGTTAGCCTCGATTATACTTAGACGTCTAACTAGAGCTCGCGAAGAGCAGACTCGAGAAAACCAGGCTGGTTTTCGACCTGGACGTGGTTGTATAGACCACATCTTCACACTACGACAGGTCCTGGAACACAGACACACATTTAGACGTCCGACAATAGTCGTGTTCCTGGACCTTAAGGCGGCTTTTGACTCAGTGGATCGTGAGGTTCTGTGGCAGTTTCTGTCATTGAAAGGTGTACCAAAGAAGTACATTAACCTTATACAAGCACTCTACTCGAACACCACTGGTCGGGTGAGAGCCTATGGCGAACTGTCATCTGAATTCTCTACATCAAGTGGTGTCCGTCAGGGCTGTCCACTCTCTCCATTCTTGTTTAACTTTGTCGTAGACATCCTCTTAGAGTTAACATTAAGCTCGTCAGATTTTTCAGGGGTTGACCTTCTACCAGGAAAGTCGCTTACTGATCTAGAATATGCCGATGACATAGTTCTATTCGGTGAAGACGCTGACAAAATGCAGAGTCTTCTGACTACCATAAGATATGCTTTCAGAGTTAACATTATCTTCATCTGACTCTTCAGGGGTGGACCTCCTACAAGGAGACACGCTTGCTGACTTAGAGTATACTGATAACACAATTCTATTCGGTGAAGACAGTGACAAAATGTAGAGTTTTCTGACTACCCTAAGCAACAATGCAAGCATGTTCGGGATGAGGTTCTCACCCTCGAAATGCAAAATGTTGCTTCAAGATTGGGTTTCATCGGCACCTGAACTAGTGATAGGGAGTGAAGTAGTCGAACGTGTAGACCACTTCACTTATCTTGGGAGTCTCATCAGTGCCGATGGCCTGGTGACTGACGAAATCTCAGCACAGAAACAGAAAGCTCGACTGGCTCTTTCCAACCTCCTTCGCTTATGGCGTAGGCGAGATATCCGTTTGCTGACCGAAGAACGAGTCTACTGCGCAGCAATTCGCTTCGTCCTACTATACGGATGCGAAACATGGCCAGTCAGAGTAGAAGAGATTGATAGTTTATTAGTATTTGATTACAGATGTCTTAGAAGCATTGCTTGTTTGTCCTGGAACAACCGAGTAAACAATGATGCTATTAGGAAGCAGGTGCTAGGTAAGGATGGCAGGTCAATAGATGAAGTATAGAAACTTCATCAGTTGAGGTAGTTGGGAAATGTGTTGCGTATGCCTAACCACCAAATGCTTTGACGAGTGGTGTTTAGTGGTGTAGGAATAGGTTGCAAGAAAGCTAGGGGCGGCCAAATCAAAGCATGGCACAAATCCATGAACTCGTTGACAGGTGGACTGAGTCGTGTCGGTAATTGTCGACTACCTGGTTGGGGTCCGCGAGATGATAATAATCGACGGTTAGAGACCTTGAATGACATGGCTCAAAATCGTTCGCAATGGCGCCGGTGCATTTATGCTTTGTGTTCTCTCAAATCCTAAATTTCTGGATTCTTCAACAACTCTAGTTTTGACTTTCTAAAATTATCTCACTGAATCATACTTCTTGAATATCTTCTAATGCTTTACTTCTAATACCTTTATTACCTCTTCTACTATTGGATTTGAATTGACAATGTGGTATGGCGACATGAACTGATGTACTTATGTACGAAGTTCTACGTTGCATCTGAGTGACTGACTGAATTGCTAACTTGAACTCAAAATATACAAGCGAAGACAGATGAAACCGAATACTAATAACCTAAAAGCCGTTTTATAGCCATTAACTAGAATGGACCGAACTAATGTACAGTGAACTCGTCCTTGAGTTGAAAGTCAGATATCTCGCCTACGTTAAAAGTAATGCAGGTTGTCAAAAGCAAACTCAAATTTCTGGCTTTGAATTGAGATTTTGTCAATCGTCAAGCCATTACGGTTTATCTGAACTATAGCATAAATAATGTAATCAGCAGGCTCAACTACTTCCCTCCACACTATTAGTTCAGGCGTTTAGGTAGATCACTGCTGAAACAACACTACATTTAGAGGGAGAGAAACGTATCCGAAAGATGCTAGCATGCTTGCTTAAGGTGCTCAGAAGACCAGTCAGTTATCAACGTCTTCATCAAACAGAACTAGACCAACTGAATTTCTGAAGTCAACAAGAAAATCTGGCACAAAATCAGCCTTTACAAGACTCGATGAACAACAACTTAAGTTACTGATTCGAATGACAGTTTACCATAAGTTCTGACTCGATCAGTAGTGTCCGAGCAGAGCATGTAGCGAAATTAATGTACTCCTTTGGTACACCTTGTCACAAAACTCATTGATCTACAAGATCAGTCACAGCCACATCCAGGTCGAAAAGATCAGATGCTAACCAAGGTTTCAGGAATACAACTGTGGTTGGATGACGGAAAGTATGCTTTTGCTTTAGAAATTAGAGAAGGGTCAATATGAAGTCTACACTTTTATATCTAGATCTGAAATCAGTCTGGCTTCTAGACTTCCTTCTTCGTGTGCCCTATTTGAGTGTTGAAAAATCATGGAGAAAAATTCTGTAGACGCTAGGTTAGCTAAACTGGTTTCTTTGTGATCATCACAAGACGATTTTTGTATTTTCTTATTCACTGGAACGGTAAGCAACCAAAACTAGTCAGATAGGATTACATCTAGTCCCCACTTCCTATGAGAAATCTCAACCATTTCCATAGTCAAGACTGGACCATCATCCTCACACTACTCAGGGGGTTAACTCAGCACAGCTAGCCGGCTTTCCTTACTTTAGATTAGACATGGAGTTTTCTCTTTCATTAAGATGATTCTAAAATGGTTTCAGAAGTGTGTAGCTATTACTTAGCTGTGACTGATGTAAACTCTAATATTCCACATCTGTTTATCATGCACTGAAGGATCTTTGCTCTCTAAATGGTACCATAATCGTTTTTATAATTCTGCCAAACGGATTACTTAAAATATCTTGGTCTGATAGACAACTAAGTTTACAGACTTCATAGAGAGAGGTGAGAGTTGACCAGCAAAAGGATTTAGGCTGCAGCACCTCAGCTGAAAGTGTTATACTGACTGACCAAAATACGTCTATTGGAGTACAGCTTCATCACTAATGTTGCATCTTTATGTTGTATAAACCAGAAACACGACTACTAAAACTTCGAGTCCACTAATTGTTTAAAAAAGTGTAGAAAGTGAAAAAAGAATGGGTTTGAATATTTTTTCAGGAACTTTTACTTTGTAAGCTCGAGAGAATAGTCGTTACTCAGATTTTCTAGACGAAATCGCTTCTCAAATCTACCAGTCGAGTTTACGCTATGTAATCTGCCAACTGACTTGCTCTTAGTGGAAAAATCTTTATAATGCGGAAGTGGTGAATGGAATTTTCCTGAGTGATTCGGAAAACATGTAACTACATAACATCATCATGTGACAGAAGGCAGCCACCTGAAACCTGACCATAACCGGGTATTTGAGGGGTTTGTGAAAAAATCTGGAGAAAATGCTTTATTAAGGCAAACTTGAAACTTTGCTGGAGAGTTCTTACACCAAGTTGTAAGTAAAAAAGCTTAAATTCCAAAGTAACAGATATCATGACAAAAGGGATTTGCACAATCTACACCGATAATAACCGAAGCTTCATCCACAACAGGATGATGCAAGTTTTGTTACACAACGATAAACGTTGTAAATAAAAGTAAGACACTGCATACTGATAAATAAATAACCTAAAGACATTAATACGTGGTACGTCCTAATTTGCTTAGGATTTCTTAAAGGCAGGTACAAGGTGTCGGTAGTTCTCACAGCTGGGGCCAACCTTTGCGGCGAGACCCAGAACACCAGGCCTTTCTCTACACTCACTTACACAAAGTTTGCATACGGGAATCATAAAGAGGAAATAAGAAATTTTTGATACGTTTAGAACATGTTTGTTATTACCTGGAAACTCGTCACCAATAATACTGGAAACAGCAGCCGTTAAATCCCAATTATGGTCTTCCAGTACAGATATTCCATACGTAATATCTGTCAGTCCAGTACACGCCTACAGTAATCACAAAATTAGGGAGCATAAGCACAGAACTTTACAATTAAACTCACCAAAAAGTTCTCAAGCATAGTATCTCTGTCCATTGTTGATAGAATGATTTGAAATTGAAGCGACTTAATATGGATTACGAACAAGTAAAGTTAATCCATCATGTACAGGTAATCCTGATTCAGATATCTACTATGAAATTGGATACTTTTTAAACCTTCAAGGCCAATCCTCAGTCCAATATCCAATACTATTTCTCAGCAGTTAAATATGTTCAATATCGTTTTCACGAGCTAGTATAGACCACTTGAAGTCTTTGCTCTTGATTCCCGTTTTTTTCGGCACAGTTACAGGTATTTGGTAGCATCCGATGGATAATATATAACACTGATTCTAGTCAGTTGGTTGCGACCTATGAATTTGTGACCCGTGATTTGAATGAGGGCGTTTGTTTTTAGGGCAGTAGAGTTTCTACAAACGATTCCGGAGATCAGTTGGTTGCAATTTTGAATATGTTAATGAGAAGATTTCAGAACTAAGCAAATAAATGGATAATTGAGTTGATGAATCGTTTCAGCTGCTCGTTTCCGTACTCGATCTAAAAGATTTATGTCTTTAACGGAGAGGGTTCTCGACGACGCTGTGAACCCGAAGATGTGGACGTGCGTATGTTTAAAGCAACGTCAAGAATAAGTTTGGGGCGATTTCATCAAGTTGTCTTCGTACAAAGTGAAAAGTTGCGGTGCACTGGCGAGCGTATGAGCGGCTGAAGCGAATCGTATGGAGGGAATGTATTGGTTAAATAAATTAATCGAAAGGGCTTAACCATATTAAATGTAAACTAACTGGAATATATGTGTAGGCACTACAGATTGGGGAGCGAACGTTTTTGCAGCGTATCACTGGTTTGTGTTGCAATGGGTAAAATTTCCATAACGTGACATTTAGACTGGTTTAGTCTTAAACTCTTTTTCACCAACGATCCGTCTATATATGTAAGGTCCTTTTGAAGCCCCACTGTATGCTCAGCGTCAAAAGTGTATGTACATGAAATTTATTCTGTTGGCTTCTTACTTCGTATTGATAAAGAACTAAATTGTATGGTTGGTGGAGTGGCGCTAAAAATTTGCCGAAACGTAAGCATAGTAGCTGTCGATTCAAGAATACGTGAGTCACTGGGCGACCGTATGAAATGCAACAGACTGGACATTGTATTAGTTGCAATATAGCACAGTTAATAATAATTAGTGGACAAATTCCTCCTCAAAAAACTTAAATCCCGGTCAAACAGGTGAAAGCCTATTAGACTTCGACAGCAACGCACTTGAAAAGTTGCAACTTTTTACCTAGATTTATCACTCTCTAACTCCGCCAGTAGAACCTTAGGAGCTACTGCCGGTCCAAGACCGGATATAGGAGGAGGGTTGGACGTGGGGTTGGCGACTCCATTCCGTTGAAATCTCACTTGCGAAAAAGACGCTAACCAGGAAAATTAGTTCAAACAATTTTACCTCTGCCCTGGGAGTTGGAAGAAGAATTATGACGTCTCATGATGAGAGACGAGTTCTCTGGGAAGTCACGAGGGTGGTGCCCCTTCTGACAACCAGAGCAACCATTCTTTTAGGTACATGGAACATTTGCACATCGTGGGAGACTGGAAGACTACTTGAGGTTGCGGCAGAAATGAAAAGATACAACCTCGAGCTGCTCGGCATCAGTGAAACGCATCGGACACAGGTAGGACAACTGAGACTTGCTTCAGGGGAACTGCTGTTATACTCTGGTCATGAAGAGGAAAATGCGTCACATAAACAAGGAGTTGCACTGATGCTGTCCAAACAAGCACAAAAGGCACTGATAGGATGGGAATCTCATGGACCGAGGATCATCAAAGTATCTTTAAAAACAAAATAAAAAGACAATACATTGAACGTCATCCAATGCTATGCACATACCAACGAATACAATGACGAAGATAAAGATCAATTCTACAAAAGACTGCAGTCAATCGTCGATAAATGTTCACCAAAGTATTTGACGATTCTTATGGGAGACCTGAATGCCAAGTTTGGAATGGACTTCACTGGATATGAAGACATGATGGGACGACATGGACTGGGAGAAACGAACGAAAACGGTGAGAGATTTGCAAACCTATGTGCCTTCAACAAACTGGTCATGGGCGGCACAATATTCCCACACAAACGCATACACAAAGCGACATGGATTTCACCAGATCACACTACTTAGGACCAAATCGACCAATTCTGTATCAATAAAAAGCTCGTAAGGACCATAGAGGATGTGAGAACCAAGAGAGCAGCCGATATTGCCTCAGATCGCCACTTGCTGGTCGCCAAAATGGAACTGAAGCTAAAGAAGCACTGGACAATGGGTAGACAACATCACACAAGTTTAATACGGCCTTTCTTCGGGATACCGTAAAACTCAACGAATTCAGGATAGCCCTCACCAATAGGTTTCAGGCCTTTCAGGATCTACTCAATGGAGAGGAAGCAACATTGGAGTACAATTGGAAAGGGACTAAGGAGGCAATCACTTCAACATGTCAGGAGGTCCTTGGTCGCAAGAAGCACCATCACAAGGAATGGATCTCTGTTGGTACTCTTGAAAAAATTGAAGAAAGGAGGAACAAAAAGGCAGCAGTGAATATCAGCCGAACAAGAGCAGAGAAAGTTACGGCACAAGCTGCATACACAGAAGCAAACAGGGAAGTGAAGAAGAGCATGAGAGCTGACAAAAGAAAATATGTGGAAGATCTAGCAATGACGGCGGAAAAGGCTGCAAGAGACGGAAACTTGAGACAATTGAACGAAACAACAAAGAAGCTCGCCGGGAACTATCGTAAACCAGAACGACCAGTGAAAAGCAAGGAAGGAAAGATAATCAGCAACACTGACGAACTGCGAAATAGGTGGGTAGAGCACTTTAAGGAACTGTTGAATCGACCAGCTCCACTGAACCCACCCAACATTGAAGCAGCATCCAAGGACCTCCCAATTAATATTGGCGCACCTACAATTGAGGAGATCAGTATGGCCATCAGACAAATCAAGAGCGGCAAAGCAGCAGGACCAGACAACATTCCATCAGAGGCAATGAAAGCAGATGTAGAAGCAAATGCGAAAATATTTCACATCCTCTTCAAGAAGATTTGGGATGAGGAACAAGTACCATCAGAATGGAAAGAAGGATACCTGATCAAAATACCAAAGAAAGGCGATCTCAGCAAGTGTGAGAACTACAGAGGCATCACTCTTCTTTCAATACCAGGCAAAGTCTTCAACAGAGTATTGTTAAACAGAATGAAGGACTTCTTAGACGCGAAACTTCGAGATCAACAGGCCGGATTTCGTAAGGATCGATCGTGTACTGACCAAATTGCAACATTACGGATCATTGTGGAACAATCAATTGAATGGAACTCACCACTCTACATCAACTCCATCGACTGCGAGAAGGCATTCGATAGTGTAGATATGAAAACACTGTGGAGGCTTCTTCGACACTATGGTGTGCCTGAGAAAATAGTCAACATCATACGGAATTCTTATGATGGATTCAACTGCAAAATCGTGCACGGAGGTCAGCTGACAGACTCTTTCGAGGTGAAGACCAGTGTCAGGCAAGGTTGCTTACTCTCACCCTTTCTCTTTCTCCTGGTCATCGACTGGATTATGAAGACGTCGACGTCTGGAGGGAAGCACGGTATCAACTGGACAGTTAGGACGCAGCTGGACGATCTGGACTTCGCAGATGACCTGGCTCTTCTATCGCACACTCAACAACAAATGAAAGAGAAGACGACCAGTGTAGCAGCAACCTCTGCAGCAGTAGGTCTCAACATACATAAAGGAAAAAGCAAAATTCTCCGATGCAACACAACATGCACCAACCAAATCACTCTTGATGGAGATGCTTTCGAGGACGTTAACAACTTTACATATCTGGGCAGCATCATTGACGAGAAAGGTGGATCGGATGCAGATGTGAGGGCGCGGATTGGCAAAGCGAGGGCTGCATTTCTACAGTTGAAAAATATCTGGAACTCCAAACAAATATCAATCAACACGAAAATCAGGATTTTCAATACAAATGTGAAGACAGTTCTACTGTATGGAGCGGAAACATGGTGAACTACCAAAGCCATCATTCAGAAGATACAAGTGTTTATTAACAGCTGTCTACGCAAAATACTTCGGTTTCGTTGGCCAGACACCATCAGCAACAACGAACTGTGGGAGAGAACAAGTCAGATTCCAGTGGAGGATGAAATCAGGAAGAAGTAGTGGAAGTGGATAGGACACACACTACGAAAAGCACCTAACTGCGTCACGAGACAATCCCTCACATGGAGCACTCAAGAAATAGAGAAAGATATGAGAGGAATGAACAAACATTGGACAGAACTGGAGAGGGAAGCTCAGGACAGAGTTGGTTGGAGAAAACTGGTGGGCGGTCTATGCTCCACTGGGGGTAACAGGCAAATGTTTATAAGTAAGTAAGCTAAGGTACTATTTAGGAACATTAGAAATATTCATGTTATTAGGTAGTTAGAAGACAGGAAGGATGGGTAGCTGGAGAAATATAGAGTTTAAATAGTGTCAAAAATTTTGTATAAAGTGATATTTTGTTTAGAATGCAACGTGTTTGGATGTTAATTAATTGTAGAAATAAAAGTTTATTAAACGACTAATACTCAGACAAGAAGGAACTCACAATCATATAGGGAGTTTGAGTTCCTCGTAATTGACAGTGGTTGATGAGCATCTAAATGCTTTTCAATTTGTGTGTCTACTAAAAATAAAAACTAAAACTGCTTTGAAGATATAGAAATAATGATTGAAATATAAATTCAGCGAAAAGTCCAAATGTCACCAGTAGCATCTCTTAGGCGTAACCTATTACTGTTAGTTCGAGCAGGTGGATTTGTCTGTCACTTCGTTATACCTGCATGGATGGTAATGCTGGCACAGTATGGTCATAGTCTGTAATTAACTCCTGAGGTTTATTTAAACATTTGTTGGACCATAAAAGGGTGTTTCGGGACTTCGTGTGAATTCCGGGAATATTCGATAAATCTCTTTAGAGTCTAACGACAGCACTACTGGTTTCTTGAACTTGGTGATTGTGTCACAGATATGGATAGTATTTGATAATCTGTTCCATGATAGACTGTATCGTGTCACAAAGAAACTACAACGC